GCATGGCCAAGGCGCCTCCTCCGTCCTGACGAGGCGGACTCCATTGAGGCTGCCCTCGCACTCCCTCTGTGGCAAGAGCTCACAGAGGACGCATTTTTCCAGATGCTGGACGACGTTTCAGTAATCGACCGCCGGTTCGGCGAGTACGACTGGCATTATTTGTCTACGATGAATGCAGATGAGCGCTCTCCGAATGGGCTGAAGAAAGCCTCGGTCCATTGTCGATTGGCCCCCAGGCGGGTCTAGTCGACAGGTGTCGACAGATGCAGACTGAAAGGCTGCGCCCTAATAGGGAAGCAGCAAATGAATCATGCGTCAGTCTGGGGAGACGATACGCTCCCCGCCCTTCTCCGGAAGATCAACCCAATTCGAAGCAAATCTCGGCTGACGTAATCCGTGGCCGGGAGATCCGTTTGGGGTTCACCATGCCCGATTCTCAATTCGGGGATGATGAGGTTTATGCGCAGGACCCGATGTGGACCGTCGAATACTGCAATTTTTACCAAGCGGCCGCGAATCTGTGGCGTGCAAGGTCGTGTCTGCGCGAAGCCGCGCACTGCATGGCAGAGACAGGGTACATCCACCCTCAGATGGCTGCGGCCATCGCGGCAACCGAAAAGGTTGAAAGATTTTGCAACGTGCTTCGAGCAGCCAACCGCTATTCGGGGTTGGGCTCGTATCGTTTCAATGACATCGTAGGCAAGAATTTGCTTTCTGGTTACGATGCGTGGAGGACTCCTCTCAACGCAGAGGATCATCCTGAGTTCTTGGCCCGTGAGGTCGAGGACGTTTTCCGTTCCTATTGCGCAGGCCTCGCGAGGTCAGATAACTTTGACCTCAGGGCTTGTGTCATTGAGCCGGAACCGGCACCCAAAGCGGAGCCGGCTCCCAAGGTGAAACCACCTCCTCAGGGTGTTGTGGCTAGCAAGAGCCATCCTAGGCGGTCCGCACCTGCTGTGCATACTGGCGCGGCTCACACCGCCAAGCGTCCACGGGAGGCTGGCGGCGGTTCCACTGGGAGTGAGCAAGTGTCAGGTTCGTACGCAGGCAAAGCCCGTACAAAAGAATCTCCCATTAAGACTCCCGAACCGCCAATGGGCGGGGCAAGTGGGAGCGGGCAATCGTCTGCGCTGGACGTGGACAATGAGGGGAGTAGGGGTGATGGCAAGAAGAATAAGGCGCCCAAAGAGGCGGCCGAAGCGTCGAAGGGCGCAGCGCCATCTCCCGCAAAGGCGTCACAACCGGGAGCCCAATGCGGCTTCTTGGACGCGACGTTGATTAGCGATGTGCGGGATCGTGATCGGGATATTTCCGATGACGAATATTCCCCTACCAACGTGTGCATGTTTCCAGAGTCCTGGGAAGACGCTATGCCGTCCTCAGTGACCACCGCTCCACGGGATTTTGAGCAATTCAGAAGTGAGCTCATGGGGATCCAGAAAATCCTGGACTCTCCGGCTCTGGTTGACCTTGAAGTGGTCGACCTGAACGAACTGGGCGAGCCGCCCAGAGAATACATCTCGGACGAAGACTTCGAAAGTCACGTCGAGGACGATGGCATTGGGCCATTCGTTGCCAAGTTCTCCGAAATGGAGAGCAGAGATCTGATTCCCTCAAAGCAGGAACCGCCGTACTATGAGGCGAAGGCCTGGCGTACGACGGAGGAAGAAATTGATAGGATGAAACATTTGTTTCCTCTCTTCCGTGCCGAAAACTATCGGCGAATGTCCGAGGGGAATGCTCCGACCGATGCCAAAGCGCATGAGTCCGGTCTTCTCCCGGTTGGTGCGTCGCTTGAGGACGCGGCAATGGTAAAACCCGCCGTGTGTCCAATTGCGAGCACTTACAATTTTACTTACGAAGGTGAGGAGGTCCTACTGGACCCCTCGAGCAGGACATTTGGCAGAATCGCCTGTCCTGCTGGGGATGGTATCTTCGGGTTTTTCCCCGAGATCGCCGACCCAGCAACGGTCACCGGACGATGCTCCAGAGAGGCGTATATGCTTCTAGAGGTTTTGTCAGGTTGTACGGACCCAAAGATGGTAAGTGTCAAGGTTGGTGATCCGTCTTTTCGCTTATGCGGGACGGTTCCCGACATACTTGGAGGTTGGATGTCAATGCCCCTGATCTCCATGCTTTTTGAGGCCCTACACGGGATTGTCAAGTGCACAGGCCTTGACGTGGCAAAGTGGGCGGGTGCTCTCGCACGGGAGCACCCCGCCTACCCCCCAGTGGAGCTACGGAGAGTCTGGGAGGAACATGACCCAACAGTGGTCACAAGCGAAGTGATTTTTGCGCGTTCCACCCTAATCGGGAGGGACGTGCCATACAAGGTTTTCAAGCGCTGGGCGTTACGCGATCGTACTCCGATCGGGCCCTTGCCCAATGGATGCAGCGGAGGTCCCTTATACGGGATATGTGCTGCTTTCCATGCCTGAGTATGGATCTGCCCTCAAAACGAGGTGCATCCGACGTTCCGGCAAGTTCGCCATTCAAGTCTTCCCTATGCGGCCTGACAAGATCTGCAGGGGGGAGATTCAGATCGGCATGGAAGGCGCAAAGGTGCCTTTCCTGAAGCTGCCAAGCCCCAATAATGAGGGCGAGTTTTACGTCGATGAGCGTGCCGCACACATGGACAGGCGCCATGTTGTCGTGGCGATCGACCTGAAATGGCTGGCGACTGAGGGCGCCGCGGGTATATACAAAACCCGACGCGGTTTCATTGCCGTGCGTGAGGAGATTCACGCACCTTTTTGGCGTGCGTGCTACTTGCACCAGGAGGGGGATGTAATATACATCCGACCATGGGCGATCCGGGCCTTGGTTGTCCCGGGTCCGCCGCGAGGGGTGTCATTCGCGTGGGACAAAGCTCCCATGCATGACTATTGGTGCCCTCGTTGTGCGCATCTGAACATGTACGGCACCATTCTATGCAATGGCTGCCACTTGCCCATTTTCTATCGGGAGTGGGTGCCCGGGACGTCTCAGTCTCAGATCAGGCGTGGACAGCCAACGTGGGTTGACGGACTCAAAGCAGTATATATAACAGCTGGTACTACGCGGAAACGTGCAGCTGGGCCCCTCTGATGGCGTCGGTAAACCCGATCCGTGAGGTGGTCAGTTGCATGATCTCTGGTTTGCGCTGTGCGCCATACCTCGTACACAATCCCAATGCGGATATCGTACAGGTGGCATTCCATGAGGTTGAGAAAGTCACCAACATGGACACTCACTCGTGTGTGAGAGCGAGTGAAAGATGGGTGGCAAAGCAACTGCTCATCGAGGAAAGCGATACTGGAAACCCAGTTCCTGATGGTTTGACAGTCCTGGCGTATTTGATCGACCACCCGCAACACGCGGCGCAGTGGGGACGCCACATGACAAGGAAAGGCAGTCTCCAATCTGCTTTTACCTTTTATCTTTCTGTATATATTTATGATGCGTACCGCATCGGTGTTGAGGACGGTTTCCTCGTCCCGCTGTACGGCCTAGGCGCCTCTCCGGAGGATGTGATCATGTCCATAGTCCAAGCCGAGCGACGCCTCGCGGACTTCACCAGCGAAGACGCTAATTTTGACATCACCGAGACCCTCAGGTTGAGCATTGACTCCCTGAGGGGCGGTGGTGGGACGAACGGTCCCAATTGAGTATGCTGAAGCATACATCTACACCAACCTGAACAAGGTCGAGATGGTTCCCGCTGGGCAGCGCGATGGCCAAAGCGCCATCACGTTTGCGGATCCTCCATCTGGGAAGCATCACAGGCGGGCGGCCACACCTCGGGGTGATAATCGCTCCGCTTCGATGCGACCGGATCAGAAAGGCAAGGGGGATACTCGGAAGGGCAATGCCCCTGCGGGCTCCTGGCCCAAAGGAGAGGGTCCCAAAGAGGACCCGAATGCAGGCAAAGGTCACAAGGCTGACCAATTCAAGGGTCACAAAGGTGACCAGCAGAAGGGCAAAGGCGGCCTATAGAGACAGACAGACAGAGACAGGCAGACAGCGACAGACAGAAGAGACAGACAGACAGACAGACAGACAGACAGACAGACAGACAGACAGACAGACAGACAGACAGACAGACAGACAGACAGACAGACAGACAGACAGACAGACAGACAGACAGACAGACAGACAGACAGACAGACAGACAGACAGACAGACAGACAGACAGACAGACAGACAGACAGACAGACAGACAGACAGACAGACAGACAGACAGACAGACACAGACAGACAGACAGACAGACAGACAGACAGACAGACAGACAGACAGACAGACAGACAGACAGACAGACAGACAGACAGACAGACAGACAGACAGACAGACAGACAGACAGACAGACAGACAGACAGACAGACAGACAGACAGACAGACAGACAGACAGACAGACAGACAGACAGACAGACAGACAGACAGACAGACAGACAGACAGACAGACAGACAGACAGACAGACAGACAGACAGACAGACAGACAGACAGACAGACAGACAGACACAGACAGACAGACAGACAGACAGACAGACAGACAGACAGACAGACAGACAGACAGACAGACAGACAGACAGACAGACAGACAGACAGACAGACAGACAGACAGACAGATAGAGACAGACAGAGACAGACAGAGACAGACAGACAAAGACAGACAGAGACAGACAGAGACAGACAGACAGACAGACAGACAGACAGACAGACAGACAGACAGACAGACAGACAGACAGACAGACAGACAGACAGACCAGACCAGACCAGACAGACCAGACAGACAGACAGACAGACAGACAGACAGACAGACAGACAGACAGACAGACAGACAGACAGACAGACAGACAGACAGACAGACAGACAGACAGCACATGCATACGCGCGTGCGTGCGTAGGCGCACGCAAATGTTTACATTATATCTCTACATATATATATATATACATAGATATGTATATAGATACACATGTATTTACCTACATAAAACATATGTGCATGTGCTGCTGACTTAGGCAAGCCCCAAGTTCATCAAAAACCCGACGAAGAGGACGGATTGGGGGTGGGTCTGGCTGTCTTCTCTTCAGCATTTTGCAGAGTGCCTCATTCCTTGTCAGCGAGACAGATGGAGTATGCTTGAGCAGCGCCTGAGCACGTCTCAGGTCTATATTTCTTGGCATCGTGCCATTTGGCAGAACCGTCAGAGCGAGCGGGAGAGAGAGAGAGAGAGAGAGAGAGAGAGAGAAAGAGAAAGAGAAAGAGAAAGAGAAAGAGAAAGAGAAAGAGAAAGAGAAAGAGAAAGAGAAAGAGAAAGAGAAAGAGAAAGAGAAAGAGAAAGAGAAAGAGAAAGACAGAAAAGGTCACAAGTAAAACTTGAATCTGAGGTATACGCTTTGCATTGCTCAGCAGTGTGGATGGCTCAGATGTTTTGGATGATTTTAGCTTTTGGAAGTGTCACCCATTCCGGACATGCATGCCGGACACTTGTGCTTTTGAATGGCTGTGGCTCGACCCATACCAGATGCTTACTTCAAATGTTTGACCAACAGCCATCTTTTGCTTTCAGGCTTGGAGATCACTTTGGTGCTGCGAAACCGATTCCACTACACGACAGATGTTGTGGGAGACTTGGGGCCGGGCAATCTCATCTCAAGCTTGTGATTGAGACGCACGTGCTGCAAGCCGGTTTGCTTTGCGTCGAGCAAAGGTGATGGCTGTTCTTCTCACCTTCTTATGGTGCCGCGGGTGCATGTTGTTGACCAGTTGGCGCAGTGCTGTGCTGCTGTGGCTTCTGAGCCTTTACCCGGTTGTCTGTTGACGTCGGGGGTTTGGGGAGGTACACCTCGGCTCCGATCTGCATTGCGGCGAAATGGTGGGCGCAGCCGCATCCTTGCAAGGTCAAGGTTGGGTTGACGTGCGTTGGGTTGCCCCAAGGTTGGGCAATGCGGACCCGCAGCCTGCCGAGGGGCAGCGTGAGGCTTGGCAAGGGAGCTCAAGGGACCATTGAAGAAAGTGTCACCGCGGGGTGTTTTGGCTGAAAAACACGAAACCGCGCAAAAGCGAGCCAGTGTATTTGCGCGACGTGTATTTGGAGATGCCAAAGTGCACTTGGTGTGCTACGCTTGTACTCAAACATTGCGGTTTTCGAGACGGACTGCCACAGTGACTTTGCGTTTGTGCTGCAAATTGCGACTTTTAAGCTGGATCTGCAGCCGGAGCTGCCAAAGTGAACTTCGTACGCTGCGCCTGTGCTCAAGCATGGGCCGGAGCTGCCAATGTGCGCGTCTCAATACTTCACTTGTGCTCCAAAGTTCTTGATTTAGCGTCGGAATTGCCAAAGCGTGCTTCGCGTACTACACTTGTTGGTGCAAGCTGCGACTTTCGAGCCAGAGCTGCCATAGTGTACCTCGCGCATACTATGCTGGTCTTGCAAACCTGCGATTTTCGAGATGGAGGCCGTACTTTGCATGCTACGCTTGCGCTGAAAAGTTGCGACTCTCGAGCCCGCGCTGCCAAATTGCACTTCGACAAGTTGCGACTCGAGCAGGGCCTGCCACAGCGTACTTTGCGCGCTACACTTGCGCCTTGCGAGCCGGAGCTGCCAAGGTGTACCTCGCGTACTACATTTGTGCTGATTTTTTGGACTTCGCGGCTGGAGCTGCCAAGGTGCATGTGCTTCGTATACTACACAAACTGTACTGCACAGTTGCGACTTTCGAGCTGGATCTGCTCAGCTCGTGCTTCGCATACTACGCCTGTACTGGCAAGTCGCAACTTTCAAGCCAGACTTGCCACAGTGTTTGCAACTGTCGAGCCGGTGCTGCCACAGTGAAGTTTGTATACTACCCTTGTATTGAAAGTTGTGATTTTTGAGATAGAGCACCAAAACGTACTTCACATACTACACTTGTACTGAAACGTTGTGATCCTCCAGCTACTTTGCGTGCTACACTTGTACCGAATATTTGCGATTGCTTGCTTCGATGTTCCATATCGCTGCAAAGCAATACGCAAACTACCAAAGCGATACCTTCATACAAAAGAACGCGCTCAGAGTGTCCTCAGGAGCAGGCTCCCGAAACTGCTATGTGTTTGGTTGACAGCTCAATGGAGAAAGAACCTGGACTTAACACGCCTGTTTAAGATCATAAAGAACCTAGCAATGTTATCCAATCATGTTATCCAATCAGAAAGTGCGATATGTAGGAAGATGAGGCGAGGGAACATCAAACAGAGAACTGATAGAACATGGCGCTCGCAACGACCGAAATCGTAGACGCTGCATAGGCAGTAAATTGAAAGAGACAGCTCGAAAACGGGAAATAAGCTGAGTGAGAAATTGCATGAGTTGAACAGCATTGGATGCAGGCTGAATGTGCCTTTCCCCATTGAAATGACTCCATCAAACAGAAAATATTCTGTTGTGCCAATTGGTTCTATTGATTTGCTGTCACCTGGCACTTTGCGGCCCCTTCGCGCCCAGAGCTTCGTCCTCATCCCGCGCAGCGCCTTGTCGGGCGACGTGTGGCTCCCTTCGCACCTCGGCGCGGATTTTTGTCTTGCGGAGTGGCGTGGGGCAAGCCTCCGGTGGGCGGCTTCCAATTTGGGTATGAGTCAAAATTAAACCACCAGGAATTGGACCGCAGGTTTTAGTCCATGTTTCCATTTACCAGGGTTCCATTCGGGGTACCTACTTTTGACCACAGCCATTTCTGTGCCGACTTTTGCCTGGCCTAGCATCGAGGTTCTGCGTGCCGTTTTGCTGCATCAACGGCCGGAGGCTGAAAGTTGAAGCTGTCCTCAAAGGCGATTAGTGCAGTTCGATGCTCTAAGGCAAGCATCATGTCATAAGCTGCTTGGACGCAGAAATTGCGGGGCACAAACGAGGGTTGAGCAAAAGAGATCATCATGGGGTTGCCTTTTGTTTGAGGGTAAGTCTGCCTGAGGTGAACATCAGTTGAAACTCTGGGAAGAGGAGACTGGAGCAGACGACCCCTGAGCGGATGTGGCTTGGAGTTTATTTTTTTTCATCGACTCCACTGATCATCCAGGAGTCGGATTGAGCGAGAAATCGCTCAGGACGGCGGAAAGTGATTAATGATTATGCCTCGATTAGAACGAGTGTCAACCTTTGGGCCCGGCGCGCGGCCACATCGACATGTGACACTGGGGACCTCCAAAGCCAGAGGTTTCCTTGCCTTGCACAAGCGTGTGGCTGGGAACCGCCATGCGCTTGACCGGCTAATGGATGTAATGCGACAGCTTCCGATGCAAAATAGCAGAGCAAGGCGATGCCACTTGGCGCCAGTTGGTTTTGATGGATTGACACCAAGATGCAAGCAGCTGGACTGAGGATGGATGCATACTGCAGCCGCCTGGGTCTGCAGGCATGTGAGAGAAGTGACGGGCTATCGGGCAGCGCTTGACATGTGCTTGTGCAGCAGTTGACTATTGCTGAGCTGCTTTCCTTCCGAGTCGCGCTCCAGCTCATGATACTTGCGATGGCTTGCCGCAAGGCTTCTCAAGTTCGCTTCATGGTGGACGGTGAACGCATTGCCGTCCAGCACTTACGGGGAAACACACACACACACAGCCCCGCATGCCACATGCATGAAAACAGCATGAGCGTGTTCGTTTCAGTTGAGTGTTGAGACAAAACTTTCTAGACAGCTGATACAAAGGCTGATGACACTGCGGAGAAGCTTGGACTGGAAGATGAGGAGACACTGAAAATGCAGGTTTGGCGATGTAAACTATGTTGTTTCCTCGTACAATTGACTCAAGCATTCAGAAACCCAGTCATGCTTGTAGGATTCCGAATGTCAAGTCTTTTGAATGTCCAGCGTCGGCTTCCGGCCAGGACCTGATCGATGTTGCCATGGAGCAGACCGGAGGACGATGAGTCAAGCAAGCCAGCTCAATGGAGCTGTTTTGGGCGATGTGGCGGCTGTTTGTGGCACAGACAAACTTCACTGGCCTTTGGCCTCAGAAATGCAAAACTAGCATGCTTAGCTCCAGCAGAAAGCTTTTGAGACAGTTCTGTGAGATCGTGCCACGGTAGACGGCCTCGTGTCCAGGCGAGCCTATTGACTGTTGTGCATGTGGTGCTGGCAATATAACAGCAGTCAGAGCGCTTGATGATCTCGCGAAGGCAAAAAGGGGAGCCAGGAAGGGAAAATACGAAAGGGCCAAACGGGGAGCTCGGAGAACAGGAGGTACTTGGTTCGCTTGGTGCACTTGGCTCGGGAGGCCTTGCTCCAGCTCCGTGCGGTGGAGCCCCACGAACAGATCTTGCGAGCCAAGGCACGGCTGAGTCGAAACGAGGCAGACAAGTATGAGGGGATCTGACAAGGTAGATGACTTTTATGACGAGACGAGGAGGCATGAGTCTTGCAGTGCAGGTGCTGAGCAACCTTGGCCAGTGCTTTCTCGCAACGGAGGAGTACGAGGAGGACGGGCTTTCTGACGTGCCTGTCAATTCCGGCATGCCCCGGAATGCCCCAGCCTTCAGGCGGAGAAGCACTACTCAGAGGTCTGGGCTCTTTTCATGAAATTGACAGAGGGCCTTTGACTCTGGGTGCAGGCCTATGACCTGTTTGCGAGCACGGTGGGGAAGCGCTCCCCTCTCTTCGGCATGCAGGCGTGCCGAACGTCTCGCAGTCGAATCGCAGCGACGATGCCTGGCGAGGCCTGGGCCTGTGGCAACCTGCGCATGGCCCAGCGCCACTTCGCCGACGCGGCCTTCTTGCTGGGGGAGGTGGGCCACTCGGCGCGCTCAGCGCTTTGCGCCTCGCTTTTGCTTTTCTTTTGACCCGACAGGCGCTGTATGTGGAGGTTGTCAAGGATGGCCTGTCTGTTTCGGAGATGGCAAAGCTGATGGATCAGGCGGGCACCCCAGGCGCTCTTTTTGCAAGGGTGGGTTCGCTTTTGCAGCAGATCTTGCACTGCATGGACCAGCTCCGCAGTGGGGACGAGGACGGCCGCTGTTTCCGTATTCATCCTTTCCCTCTCCCTCTCCCGTTTTACCTCAGGCTCTTCACACTATTGCCAATCTGGAGCCTGTCAAGCGTGCCCTCAACGATCTCATCGAGGACGTGTGCTGCGAGCCCCACAGATCGGAGCATCGCTGCATGTTTGAGGACCCAAGATGGGATGAGCTTGATGAGACGCTGGACCTTGCGGCCTGGCTGGCATGGAAGTGTCATGCAACGCATGCGCGTGTGAGTTGGTCAGGCCTTCACTGCTCCGCAATACGATGGCTTTAGAGAGCACTACTTGCATTCGTTGCTTGCAGACCCTCACTTTGAATGGCCACAGTACATGCAACATGTCAAGCACATGGCAGCCAGCCCCTCATTGCAACCACAGCCCAGTCACATTTACCAACCTTTTGGGAGCAGCCTTGCTTTGGAGAAGTACTCTGCAGCTGCATTCGCGGCATTTGAAAGACGAGATGGCTTGCGCCGACTCTAGAAGTCAGGCTGGCATGCAGGTGAAGCAAATCTTTTGCATCAGTTCGTAACATATTGTGACGCTTTCATCTCTATCAGATAGAACGACATCCACTCAACACATCTCTGCTCTTTGTGCGCCCTGAGGTGATGATGACGGCTTCCTGGCTGCGTAAGATCCCACCTGCCGCTTTCTTCGTTTGTTCTCGAGGAGTTGGGCAAGACGTTGGTTGCAGAGCTGGAGGAGAGGGACGACGAGGCTGACTGGGAACTCGAGGACTGGGACTCGCGGACGCTCTGAGCCCACTGGGCCTGGACTCGCAGACTCGGTCCAGGACTTCAGCAAAGCCTTCGTGGTCCAACAGCTGCGCGCGTTGCAGCCGACGGCTCGGAGCCTCGACAGACGTCAGTCTGCTTTGGATGTGTTGTCGTCAAAGAAAGGCCAAGGTGCCATCAAATTAGGAGCGGCTTTCTATAATCATCATCCAGCAGGACCAAGAAGTCCTCCCCTTCTCAATGCTCAACAGCGCAGAGTTTAGTGCCACTTATCAGGGAGAGCGCGAGATAGAAAGAGGGAGATGGAGAGAGAGAGAGAGAGAGGAAGACCGAGCGCCGGGGACACTTCCCCTACAACTGTAGCTTGATACAATCCTCACGGAAGGCTGGCCATGTAATGACTCCAAAGGGCTATCCAATATACAATACGTGTATACATTTGAGTCGATTATTTGAGTGAGAGAAAGTGAGTGCTGCTGGTCAACATTTTGTTTGGGCGACCTGCACAACGGCTCCCGTTGCAGGAACGCGTGTGTGAAGTGATGTGTTTAGATGTTTTAATGCTCTCGGCGCTAGGTACGAAGACGCTGAGTCTCAAGCTCACTTGATTGTTGGCGAAGCTCCTGCCGCTGCGGCTACTTCAGAGATAGCCTTGTGACTTGAATGAATTGCAAGGCTTGTGGAAAGCAGATGGATTTCAGCGTTCTTGAGTGCTTTCAAGTTGATGTGAGTTTTGTATATTTCTTTGGTGCGCTTCTGCTCTTTTGTGCTGGGCTATTTGCCGCAGTTTCGCTCAGGTCTCCCGGCGTCGCCGCCGGCTTCACCGAGCAGGGCTCCTTGGTGCACCTCAGCTTCGACCTGAAAGATCCCCGGGCCAAAGGGCGCCTGGACCTGGCGAAGCCGTGCGAGGGATAAAAAGGTCCAAGCGCCAGTCCCATGGAAGTGGGGGGGAGTCGGGGGTGGGCAAACATTGCATGGTGACCCATTTCATTTGAAGATCCCTTGAGACGGCACGAGATGTTCCTCTTGTGAACCTCCCACACGGGCAAAAGCAGCTGTGTCAGTGTGGACGCTGCAACCGACTGCGCCAGGTGCTGAGCCACAAGATGGCGCTCGTTTACGTCGCGGCGAGATGGCCCGGCGGCTGCCGGAGCCTTCCGAGTGGAAAGGCCGGCAATGCGCACGCATCGCGAATCCCAGGCGAGGAGCAAGCCGCCTCGTACTTCAATGCCAGGGCCGCCAGGTTCTCAGGCCGCATGCCCTGGCATGCTCTTCCCAGCCGCTGTGGCAGGTGGCAGTGCTGAAACAAAGCGATGCCAGTGAGGCAGAATTGAGGGTCTTTGTGCTCATTCAGCGCCTTTCACGCATGTTGGGCCACGAGGCACGGCAGTGGTTGCTGCAGGCGCAGGTGCGGCTGCTTGGAGCTCCTTCTTTTCTGGGGGAGGTCTTGCTTTAATTTATTGCTTTTGCCGTGATATACTAGTTAATTACGAAGCATAGTGGCATCGCAAAAAACACCTGCGGGTTTGGCTGGATTTTTGCAGGGAAGGTAGTCGGCACAGCACCATGACTGAGGCCATTCAATCTATTCAATCTGCTGTCCTTGGACACGCACGGACCGGACAGCAGTGATGGATTCAAACAATGCCACGGTCTGGGACATCATCAACACGGCATGAAGGAAGCAGTTCATTTGCAGGCATGCCAGTTGAATCTATTTCCTTTTCTAGCTTCCTTTGGGCTCAAGAGCAGGCTTTGCCTGTGCAATTGCAGAACATATTATGCTGCAAGTGAACTTTTTTTTTTTTTTTTTTTTTACAGTGATTCCGTTGGCAACTTGGTTCAACAAGCTCGTTCATGGTTTTGTTTTCCAGCTCCTGCAAACAATCCTTCAATCAGAGTCAGAGCATACTTTCTTTAATGCTGTCAATCAGTATGAATCATGCGTGGGGGTTTGCTTGGTGCTTAGCTGGTTGATTATGATGTCTGCATCCGCTCGACCTTACATCCATGCAGGTGCGTTCTGTGCATTTTTGCTTTGGTATTTAAATGAGCGGAGACACATGATGTTGGCTTGGAATACTTTTTGGATTTGCTTTGTGTTTGCCCCTCCATGTCTGAAAACCATGGACACAGACGGCGGGGTAGTTCCTTTGTCCCTAATGTGTTTGAGATTTGAGGGCGGGGCAAACTTGAAGCATTGACATGAACAACTCTCACACTTTGCCGACCTCGCAGCCATTTGGGACAATAGCATCATAGATTCAATGCGCAGGCTCAAAATCCAAGATGAGCGGATAGAACATAGATTATCATCCTTGACTTCCGAAGAACCAGCGAACAACTATTGGAAAGCGGGTTAGGCAACTAGCGCAGTTGACTTCCCATCCTTTGTTGGCCGCGCCCTCGGTTGCGGTGCTGGGACTTTGCTGGGGCGTTGTATGACCAGCGTGCCAAAGAGTCTAAGCGGATGCTTTGCTTGCAGGTGAACATGGCCCTCAAGATTTTCGAGATCGATCGCAGCCTGGAAAGCTGCCAAGGCACGCGACGCCGCGGCGCGACTTTGGACGCATGCAGCGACACCGTTGTGAAGGCCAAATCTGGGACAGAGTCAACGGCCGGGCGCTGAGCCAGTCCCGTGTGGTGCGACTTGGTGCTCCACGACCGTAATGGGAGGCTACAGATGGTGGCTGGGCGAGCTGGAGAAGAACGAGGGCGGCATCGAGCAGTTTGCTGAAGGATACAAGATCTTTGGCTTCATCCGAGATGACGAGAAGGGCGCCCTGGTTTTTTTGCACAGGTTGAAGGGTCGTATGCTGGCGATGGTGCTACAAGTAGGAATGATGCTTGAGAGAGACAGTCAGCATTTTTTGAGCCCAGGTGGCTTCACCTACAGGGAGTGGCTGCCAAACGCGAAGCAGGCCAGGCATTATTTGGGTATGGGTCAAGATTAGACTACCAGGGGACCGCAGGCTGTAGTCCTGGTTTCCATTTACCAGGGTTTCATTTTGGATACCCATCTTCGACCCACTTCCATTTTGTGGTGAAGGGTTGGTGGATCTTCTTCGAAGGTCTTCCTCATCGGCGGATTCAATGACTGGCAGAACACCATGCCCCTCACATCTGAGGGTTTCGGCCGATGGGCTGTCTTCATTCCGGACAAGGCGCCGGGAGTGGCACGAATGGGCGCCATGAAACCTGTGCCTGTCTGATGCTTTCTGGGGAAAGCAAATGTTCCTTGGGTCTCGTCTCGGACAATCTCCAGGCCTCCCTCCCCCCCCCCGACCCGATACGAAATCGGAAACCCCAGGCAGACGGCTCACCCGGGATTCCTCACACTACACAGCTCAAGGTCCGTTGGGACCTTGGAGCGGACATCGAATCATGCATGTATGTGGATGTGAGTTGAAGGTAAACTTAAAAGTGACATTGGCATGCATGTATGTGCTTGTACATGTACAAGAGGAGATCACGTGAGACTCATGCATGCCTTTCAGCGTGAGCACACTGTCCACTCAAAACCTCACGTGGAGATGTAAATGGGCAGGGCATTCAGCTGAGGCTTGGAGGCAAACGATGGCTCCTGGCACGATCGAGTACCTGCGTGGATCAAATTGGCATGGCAGGAGCAGCCAGAGGGAAGAGAGAGAGAGAGAGCTCGCAAGCCTCGGTCTGCTTTGTACAGCCTGCAAGAGCCTGCTTTTGCGAGGATCATACCACCAACCTTTTCAACGGTGTCTTCTGGGCGCCCCCGGAGGAGGCCTGGCGTTTCGCGGCACCGTGGTCTCCGTCTGCACCGGCCCATTCAGCATGACTTTTGGTTCTCAGGAGAGATATGTGTTCCAGAATTCGCGACCTCCCAGGCGCGATCTGCAAAGCACACAGGCCGCAGTGCGCGCTTCTGTCAGGCCTGACAACCTGAAGATTTACGAAGCCCACGCAGCTCAGCGAAATCGTCAGTCATGTCCCGTGAGCTGTCTTGAATCGCTCGCTTGTACACCATTATATATAGTATATATGTATAATGTAGATATTCAAAAAATAGATATATCTACATATCTAAATATTCAGAGTGAAGATGGATAGAGGTTGAGTGCTGCAGTTCTCCCCGCCGAGTCCTATTGATCCGGATTTCCGAGGTGGGCATGGGCTCGCTTGACCCAAAGGTGGCCACCTACACGGAGTTCGCCGAGGTGGTGCTGCCGCGTATCAAGAGCTCTTCGGATGCAGTCAATCGAATGTTGGTCAAAAGGTTCTTGCTTTTTCCCGAAAGCATCGCGAAGGGTTCTTCCGTGCGGAGCCCTTGGACAAGTTACACAGAGCCAAGTTGCACAGAGCCAAGTTGCACAGAGCCAAGTTACATAGAGCCAAGTTACATAGAGCCAAGTTACATGGAGCCAAGTTACATGGAGCCAAGTTACATAGAGCCAAGTTACATAGAGCCAAGTTACATAGAGCCAAGTTACATAGAGCCAAGTTACATAGAGCCAAGTTACATAGAGCCAAGTTACATAGAGCCAAGTTACATACATAGAGCCAAGTTACATAGAGCCAAGTTACATAGAGCCAAGTTACATAGAGCCAAGTTACATAGAGCCAAGTTACATAGAGCCAAGTTACATAGAGCCAAGTTACATAGAGCCAAGTTACATAGAGCCAAGTTACATAGAGCCAAGTTACATAGAGCCAAGTTACATAGAGCCAAGTTACATAGAGCCAAGTTACATAGAGCCAAGTTACATAGAGCCAAGTTACATAGAGCCAAGTTACATAGAGCCAAGTTACATAGAGCCAAGTTACATAGAGCCAAGTTACATAGAGCCAAGTTACATAGAGCCAAGTTAGAGCCAAGTTACATAGAGCCAAGTTACATAGAGCCAAGTTACATAGAGCCAAGTTACATAGAGCCAAGTTACATAGAGCCAAGTTACATAGAGCCAAGTTACATAGTTACATAGAGCCAAGTTACATAGAGCCAAGTTACATAGAGCCAAGTTACATAGAGCCAAGTTACATAGAGCCAAGTTACATAGAGCCAAGTTACATAGAGCCAAGTTACATAGAGCCAAGTTACATAGAGCCAAGTTGCACAGAGCCAAGTTGCACAGAGCCAAGTTGCACGGAGCCAAGTGACACAGAGCCAGGTGGCACAGAGCCAAGGTTAGGTAGAGCTTTCGTAGAGATTCGGCGTTAGCAGCTATGTAAGTTAGTTTAGGTTTCTCATGCGCCGGGGCGGGAGTTTGATCGTCGCTCGGTATTGCGACCCTCTGCGGAGATTCGCGTGGTCGAGGTCAAAAAACTGAGGACTTTTTACGATTTTTAACATGCGCGCGCGACCCTCTGCGGAGATTCGCGTGGTCGAGGTTGACGATTTCTGCGGTCCGCGCACGACCCTCTGCGGAGATTCGCGTGGTCGAGGTTCAAAATCTGAGGACTTTTTACGATTTCTGCAAAAGCCCGCGACCCTCTGCAAAGATTCGCGTGGTCGAGGTTCAAAGACTGAGAACTTTTTACGATTTTTAACATGCGCGCGACTCTCTGCGGAGATTCGCGTGGTCGAGGTTGAAAAGCTGAGGACTTTTTACGATTTCTGCGGTCCGCGCGCGACCCTCTGCGGAGATTCGCGTGGTCGAGGTTCAAAAACTGAGGACTTTTTACAATTTTTAACATGCGCGCGCGACCCTCTGCGGAGATTCGCGTGGTCGAGGTTCAAAAACTGAGGACTTTTTAGCGACCCTCTGCGGAGATCGTGCGCGTCGAAGCGCTCTCGCTGTGGCGCCGTGCGAATTTGTCTTAGCCTCGGCGAACCCTCTGCGGAGATTGTGTGTGTCGAAGCGCTCTCGCTGCGGCGCCGTGCAATATTCTTGCTCGCGAAACGGCCTTTGGAAGTTGTCTCGTGGTTTGCGCGCCTGCTTTCGCAATCCCGCGGTCGCGGGTTCGATTCCCCCCTGGTCCGCGGCAGCTCCGGCTTGAAAATCGCAGCTCTTAAGTAGAAACGTAGTACGCGGAGCGTCCTGCAGCTCCGGCTGGAAAATCGCAACTTTTAAGTACAGACGTAGTATGCGGAGCGTGCTCCCGCAGCTCAGGCTGGAAAATCGCAACTTTTAAGTACAAACGTAGTACGCGGAGCACACCCCCGCAGCTCCGGCTTGAAAATCGCAACGTAGTACGCGGACCGTACTCCTGCAGCTCCGGCTGGAAAATCGCAACTTTTAAGTACAGACGTAGTATGCGGAACGTGCTCCCGCGCAACTTTTCAGTACAAACGTAGTGCGCGGAGCACACCCCCGCAGCTCCGGCTGGAAAATGGCAACTTTTAAGTACAAAAATAGTATGCGAAGTACATTCCCACAGCTCCGGCAGCACTTGCGCAGAGCAACTTGCGCAGAGTCACTTGCGCAGAGCAACTTGCGCAGAGTCACTTGCGCAGAGCAATTGCACAAAGCACTTGCGCAGAGCAACTTGCACAGACCAACTTGCACAGAGCACATGCGCAAAGCGCTTGCACGGAGCAACTGGCGCAGAGCACTTGCGCAGAGCAACTTGCTCAGAGCACTTGCGCAGAGCAACTTGCACAGAGCACATGCGCAAAGCGCTTGCACGGAGCAACTGGCGCAGAGCAACTTGCACAGACCAACTTGCACAGAGCACATGCGCAAAGCGCTTGCGCGGAGCAACTGGCGCAGAGCACTTGCGCAGAGCAACTTGCTCAGAGCACTTGCGCAGAGCAAGAGCACTTGCGTGCAGCAGCGTGCAGCAGCTTGCAGAGAGCAACTTGCGCGCAGCAGCCTGGAACAATGCAGCTTGCGCAGACCACTTTCGTGAGAAATCGCGCGGCGCAGTTCGAGAGGAAAGTAGGATGATGAGATGGAGCTCTCATGTGACCATACACACTGAGCATCGCCGCGCGCAGACACGCTCGCCGCAGCGATGTAAAAAGGTGTCTCCGCGGCTGGATGAGCGCCTGTGGAAAAATGCTTTCGGGCCAATCGTCCTCTAGTTTCCCCAACAGCTGAAAGCTAAGGGGTCTCAGACCAGATAAGGTTTGGGGGAGGCTTGGGGAAGCTCTGGAGTCAGGTTCGAGCAAGGTTCCGGAGGCCAGGTGTAAGGTTCAAGGAAGGTCCCTGAGGTCTGGAGCAGGCCAGGCGTAAGGTTCAAGCAAGGTTGTGGAGGTTCGGGGTGGTCTTGTGCAGGGCAGGTGTAAGGTTCAAGGCAGGTTTTGGAGGTTTCGGGGTGGCCTGGTGCAAGCCAGGGGGTGGTCTGGTGCAGGCCAGGTGTAAGGGTTCCGGAGGTTCCGGGTGGTCTTGTGCAGGGCAGGTGTAAGGTTCAAGGCAGGTTTTGGAGGTCGGGGTGGTCTGGTGCAAGCCAGGGGGTGGTCTGGTGCAGGCCAGGTGTGTGGTTCAAGGAAGGTTCCGGAGGTTCCGGGTGGTCTTGTGCAGGGCAGGTGTAAGGTTCAAGGCAGGTTTTGGAGGTTGCGGGGTGGTCTGGTGCGAGCCAGGTTCAATTAAGGTTCCGGAGGTTTCGGGGTGGTCTGGTGCAGGGCAGGTGTAGGTTTTGGAGGTTCCGGGTGGTCTGGTGCGAGCCAGGCGTAAGGTTCAAGGAAGGTTCCGGAGGTTTCGGGGTGGTTTGGTGCAGGCCAGGCGTAAGGTTCAAGGAAGGTTCCGGAGGTTTCGGGGTGGTTTGGCGCAGGCCAGGTGCAGGCCAGGCCTGCACCAGACCACCCCGGAACCTTCCCTGAACCTCACACTCGGAATGTCCAACCTCACCCTGGCCTGCACCAGACCACCCGGAGCCGACCATCCCGGAACCTCCGGCTTCCTTACACCTGCCACCCCGGAGCCGACCATCCCGGAACCTCCGGCTTCCTTACACCTGGCCTGCACCAGACCACCCCGGAACCTTCCCTGAACCTTACACTCGGAATGTCTAACCTTACCCTGGCCTGCACCAGACCACCCCGGAACCGACCATCCCGGAACCTCCGGCTTCCTTACACCTGACCTGCACCAGAACACCATGGAACCTCCGGAACCTCCGGACTCAGCCCAGATAGGGGACCGGGGTGGTCCGAGGCAAGGTTTTACCAGGGTTCCACCAGGGTTCCACGAGGGTTCCACGAGGGTTGCATGAGGTTCTGCGAGGGCTGTGTCCGGCTTCGATCGGCGGGTCGCTCTCACGTCCGAGGAATGGGCTACAATGCGGTGCAGCTCATGGCCGTGGCCGAGCACGCACACTACGGTGCCTGGGCCCAGCCGGAGCGTGGAAAGGGCCTGAGGGCTGGCCGTAGGGGCCGTGTTGGTATGTGACACTCTGATATGGCTGTGGGTCAAAACCAATAGGATCCCATTTTGTATGTCAGAACCTATTTTAGTGGGATCGGGATGTTCACTGGGGGTACGGGATTCTGACCCATGGCCACATGTTCGTCAAGCCACAGGTGCTTGCCAGAGAGAGAGAGACAGAGAGAGAGTGTGTGTGACTGCAGATGTCTGAGGTTGCTTCGGATACCATGTGACCTCTTTCTTCGCGCCGGCCAGCCGCTCCGGAACACCTGAGGATCATGACACTTTTGCGTCATGCACTAGCAATCAAAGCATCAGACCTGCCCCCTCCTCATAGGAGCTGATGTATTTGATTGACACCGCACACGGACTGGGAATCCAGGCACTGCATCACAGATGTAAATTCATCCTACAACTTTCCTGTGGCAGGTTCTGATGGATCTCGTGCATGCTCACGCCTCTTCCAACACGCTGGACGGAATTTCACAGAGCCTGATACTGCAACAGTAAGAGGCATCATTCATGCAAGCCGTCAAACTGGATCCAAGGATGGACGGCACTGACCACTGTTATACCCATGGAGGCCTCAAGGTGGCTGGCAGCAATTGTATCAGCGTGCAGTGACGACGCAGTTGCTCAGGGCCATCATTCCGAGTGGGACTCCAAGATTTTCAACTACTTGAAGTATGAGGCACGGGTACGAGAAGCGTAGCAAGGGACAGGCAAGATCGATGTTGAGCTTCCGAAGGTTCTCCGGTTCCTCCTCTCAAACGTCAAGTTTTGGCTTATGGAGTACCAATTCGATGGCTTCCGATTCGATGGTATTACCTCCATGCTGTGCCCCTGGGGGGAAATTTGATGCTTTGGGGTGCTGCACTGTGCGAAGGTACCAATCTCACGGAATCGGCAAGGGCTACACAGGTGGTTTCCACGAGTATTTCGGGCCGGATGCTGACATTGACAGCTGACTCCTTAGCATTCCAGTCTGGCATGCTATTTTTGCTCTGTTGCTTGTTGAGGACTATCCGTACGACCCGTCCTGCTTTCAGAATTCTCTGACTCGATGACATGTTTGAGGTCACATCTACTTGATGCTCTCAAATGACTTGATCCACCGCATCTGCCCGTCAGCGGTGACGGTGGGCGAGGACGTCTTGAGGGAGTTGCAGTTTAGTGTTATGTGCTGTCGTCTGGTGCATCAGATTTTGAGACTTGTGTCCATGGGGAGGATGTCAGTGGAATGCCAACACTGTGCTTACCAGTGGAGTATGGAGGCTTCGGTCAGAGGCCCCAGAATGCAGGCTGTTGCTGGTGATACGCTGCGGGATTGATGTTGAATACTGCTTTGAGCTTGAAGTTTGCTCTGCGAGCTGCTAAGCTTAGGCTTTGACTATCGCCTGGCCATGGCGATCCCAGATATGTTCATCAAGCATCCCGGCATGAGCATGCACGAAGAGGAAGCCACAGATTTGACCCGCAGAATTCAACACCTGCCTCAGTGGATTTGGCTATTGCGTTCTTTGCAGAGCCAAGGTACCTCAAAGAGGCCCGGTTGTGTAGAGATATGGGTTTTTCATAAGGCTTGTTCACAAGTGTTTCTTGGGACAGATTGCTCAACTTTTTTGTTGTGGGCCAACCGAATGCAGATGCGCCTGTCTGCAGTCGACCGATGATGGCTGGGGCATGGGCCACATTGTGCACACGCTGACCAACAGGAGATACATGGAGAAGGACGGGCAAATGGCATTGAGTTGCCATTCAGTAAACGAAAATCCTGCCATGGCAATCAAGCAGTACATTATTATTGGATTGAGAGAGAGAGAGAGAGAGAGCGACGAAGAGCGAGAGACAGAGAGAGAGCCAGAGAGAGTGAGATAGACAGAGCGACAGAGAAAGAGAGAGAGAGAGAGCGCGCACATGCGCGGAAAGGCACGAGTAAGGTGTTGCTTGTGATACCTGCAGGTGATTGGCTATGCGGAGTCGCACGACCAGGCGTTTTGCTCAGCGAGCAGTTGCGGTTGCAGGATGCGGTTGCCGGAAGGGAAAAAGTTTGGAGCACGCGCTTTCCGGTTTGGGCAACAGGCAATTGTGGGAGACAAGACCTTGGCCTTTTGGCTCATGGATGCCGAGATGTGCCCTTTGAAATCGAGTCTCTCTTTCTTGCGTCCTCTGGCTGGCTTCGCAGGTACACCGGCATGAGCACCTTCACCAGCCCCTTGCCTTCCATGTGCATCGACCGTGGCCTGGCGTCGGGGACCCGGGGGGAAAGCTGCAAAGGTGAAGCGAGCAAGGTGGCCAGGTCTCTCTGATCTCTTTTCTTTGAGCCTTTGAGCCTTTGAGGCTGCACAAGATGATCCGACTTCTTGTGCTCTCCCTGGGCGGCGAGGGCTACCTGAACTTCATGGGCAACGAGTTCGGGCACCCCGAGTGGATCGACTTCCCGCGCCCGGAGAACGGCTGGAGCCACCAGCACTGCCGACGTCGTGCGGATCTCAAAAAAGGTCTACTTATTCAGAGCTTGTGCCACTTTTTTGGGCTGTCAGCATTCTGTCAGGATGGGACCTGGCAGAGGATGATTTGTTGCGCTACAAGTTCTTCCAAGCCTTTGATGAGCTTATGCATGTAGCTTGATTGAATCTGAAACTGTCTAACCAGGGTTTGAACAGGACAGAATTAGAAGCCTCGGCATTCTCAGACACATTCGCTTCTCTTGCTCTGAGGCCTGCGAGAATCGATACAAGTTCGTGAATGCATCTCATCAGTATGTCAGCAAGAAGTGTGAAATGGACAAGGCCATCTGACTGATATGGCATATTTGAACCACTCCCATCAAGGCCTAGCATGTCATTGACCTGAGTTTGTATAGGTGATCGTGTTTGAACGCGGAGATCTGGTTTTCGCACCTTGGCAGCCGCAATCTGACCCATCGTCGACAAATGCTGCGATTGGATCTGAGGCGTTCAACTTCCATCCGTGCAACAGCTATGAAGGCTACCAGATCGGGACCCATTGCGCCAGCAGCTCAGATGCTGCGCCAGTGTATGGTTCGAGATTGTTTCATAACAGGACGAACCTATGCGCTGTGTCTTGGACACAGACGAGGGCAGATTTGGAGGTCACATGCGCCCGGCCCTTGGACTGAGGGACACATTCGCACGTGCAAGTTGAGTCCATAGAGGCGCAGAGGCGCAGGTTTTAAATGTTCGGTTCCGTGCCAATTGCGAGTGTCCAGCCCGAGCTGGAGCCATCCTGCCCAGCCTTAGGCCTGGACTATGGCCATGGCAATCCTTTCCCCGCCCTTGGTGGAATTGACAGCCGGCCTCACTCTGTCAAGCCACTCTGATGCATGGAGCGGGCAAGTGAGCGAGGGAAGGAGGGAGCGAGTGAGGGAGGGCTGGTTGTAAACGTGTTCGACTGGCAGGCTGTACATGCCGGCCCGCACAGCTCAAGTTCTTTGCAGGCTGGCTTCCGGCATTTTGTGAGAGTCAGCTCTCATTTGGCGCACTGATATATGGTGACACGTTTCAGGGAGAGCATGCTGCAGGGAGGGGTGATCATCTACGCCAGCCTCTTAGTGTCAGTGGCCTGGGCTGCTCCGAGCAGTGCAATGCGGCCTATCACAAGAATCCAAGTTGCTTCTTGTGTTTATCAAATGAACATGGTGACCTTTGTGGACATGATCGCTGACACATGTCTAAGCGATTGGCTGCTTCCCGTGACGAATGAAGGCCGAAGAGAGCTTCCTGTCGCAATACGAGCTGAAGAATTGTGATGGCTTGAAGTTGTCTCTCGTGGTGACAAAGGACGGCAACGAGGAGATGCAGGACTTCCCGTTCACAGACGGATGCGCTGCTCTCGAAGATCACTTTGATGCCACCTTTGACATCGTCACTGCGGATGACACGATCCTGCCTTGCAAGGCCTCCAAAGACACGAAGTTCCGAGTCTACTTCCCTGGTGAGTACACCATTGCCCAGCTGGGCTACCTGCGAAACGGCCGGCCGGAAAACGCGCCGCCAGTGCCGAAGGCAGCCCCAAAACCCAAGCCGCAGGCCAAGGAAGGCTACACGAAGCCCAAGGCGCAGCCAGCACCGCTGCCGACCAAAATCGATGTCCCGGAGACCAAGCTCGCGGATTCCCCGCTGTCGCCGCCCTCCGGCGCTCCTCCGGCCATGAAGGTGGAGGTGAAGGAGGAGTCCAAGCCCGAAGAGGCCGGGGTGGACGTGCGCGACATGACCCGGTGCTACTCCGGGCTCCACTTCATGGACACGGAAACATTGGACGCCGCCTTGCGGGAGACTACGGCGCCTGAGCGCCAGGTCTCGGACATGGACCAGGCAAAAAGCCGATTGCAGGAGTATCAGGAAAACCTTGCGGCGTGTGGTGGCGACCTGGCAAAGATCTCAGAGAGCTACAAGTCATTCGGTCTGCAGAAGGTGGGATCAGCCTGGACGTATTGCGAGTGGCTGCCTGAATGCAAAGAAGTGTTCCTGGTGGGCGATTTCAATGGCTGGGACACTGCCGCGACGCCGCTGGCACAAGAATCCGACTTGTTGCCAGATGTTTGGAGCTGCACCCTTCCAGCGACGACAAACCTGAAGGTGGGATCCAAGTACAAACTCTACGTGGTGCCAGAGGACTGGCTGTTGGCTTTGATACTGGCTATGCACTGATATGTTCGGACACATGGTGCACATGCAATCTCATGATTTAAGCCAAGTCACAGGAGGGCGATCCATACTATGCCATGCCTGCATGGGCCACAAAGTTCATTGGGCCCAACGAGATGAAGCCATTGACCCAGATCTGTCGCCTAGTGCTCGTAGCAGTGGCCACTAGGGCCACTCCGGTTGCGGCTGTGAGGCTTTTGGACGCCATCGTTCACGAGATCAAAGGAGCGGGACCCGGGCGACTGGAAGTGACCCCGGAGATGCAGCAAGGCGCGGCTTCAAACCCAGCGAGGGCTTGGATGCCGGGTGCCGGCTTTAGGTGGGACGCGCATCTACGAGTGCTATCCTATCTTCACCTGCAAGCAGACCACGACCTCTCCTTTGGTGGAGTCTGGAGCTCAAAGAAAGACCTGCAGCTTTGCAAAGTACGGTAACCGAGGACCACAGACTTGCTTCCTCGCATTGCTCGAAATGGCGAGAGCCCCAAATGTCGTTGTATGATGCGGTTGCGTCTCAATATGGATCTTCTTCTTTTGGATGGTCTAAAGTGGACAACAGGAAAACACTTGTTTTGCAGGTTGAAACTTTGACATATATACATATATATATACATATATATATATATACACACACACACACATCTTTTTTTTTTCACATGTGCGTCTGCACATCTGCTTCAGTCAGACATACATTTATGCTTCTTTGGTGTTTTCCAAAGACTCTATCAGCGATTCGGTCCGAATTTTCCAAGCGCAATCCGAGGCGTGGGATGGTCACTTTTAATTTTATTGTGTAGGATTCTAGGGAAAAAAGGGCTGAGCTTGGCTTTGAACTTCAAGCAGCGTAACTTTTGTCTGGCCAGTGTATATATATATGATATAAACAATGGAACACATACTAACGTGAATCATGGCTGTCATGGCCTTCGCATGCTCAAGGCTACTCTGCTTTGCTGCTGATGGGCCTTCTGGAGTGCAAGGACGTGTGTGAGTGGCAAGGTCAGACCTCCAGGGTCTAATGTTTGGTTGGGTTTAAGCTCCTCAGATCGCAGAATTGACCCTTGCTGTTCTGTGCAGTAGCGAATACATGAGGATTTGTTTGGGGAAGGGATTGAGGTATTTTGTCTGCAAATTCCTTGTCTGGCGCTGAATGTCTCTGAAAGCCTGCAGCGGCACAGGACAATGCGACGATGGGCGCCCAGCCGGTCAGCCTCTTCGCTCTGTCCCAGCATTTGGGGACTGTGGAGGTCGCGCTCTGAGAGAAGACGAGTTGCATTCATGTTCTTTTTGGTGAGGAGCTGAGAAACTTGGTCCTCCAGGCAGGGGTAGGTCTGGCCGCGCACAGCGTTGGGTTGAATGTTGATTGCGACTGAAGGCCCACCGGCTCGGTCTGCAGGTTTGACGCTTAGATTGAGAGCGAGTGACAGGTGTCATGTCTTGCAAGGAAATTGGCTTGTAAGGTCTTCATGGATCTTCCCCACAATGGTGCAGCCTCAGCGGAGGCGCACAAACATTTTTGTTTTCTCTCGCAGGGCACAAGCTGTTTCTGAGCTTGAAACTCCTTCGCAGTGATGGCAGGACTCACTGGGCGGGCAGTTCTTCCTGTGGGGAGAGCAGCTTGGACGAAGTGCAATTTGACAAGCAGACATATGTGCCATTTATTGAAGTCTGCCAAGACACCTGACACAGGCAGAGCTTCCACCCCATCACGGGTGCCAGGCTGTACAACTTCGCGGAGCCCGAGGCATCTCGATCTTGGGCCTTGGCCTTGTAGGCAGCCATATCCGCAGGTGCAGCGATACCTTCTCGCAAGCATCGGGTTCTGGATGGACCAGTTCGGCATTGATGGCTTCAGGCCTGGGAATTCGGAATACCCAGTGTTGCATGTCCTTGGCGCTCGTATTTTGCGAAAGCACGCAGGTTTCTGGATGTGGCTTCCATGATTTATTTGGACCGAGGGAGGCTTGGCCAGTGGAGCATTGTGCAAGTTTGGCCACCTGTAGTAGCAATGATTCTGCAGACAGCAACAGTCCCTCATATTTTGTCGTTACACTTCTATTGATTGAACTGGTGCTGTTCTATTTGTGGATTCGTGTCTGGCAGTTTGGTCCTACCATACTTGTTTCGTGCTCTTTGGGCAGAGCACTTGGCAGCTTTTTCTTCGGGACAGATACTGTTACTGGCAAGCATCATTCGAGCTTCAGGGCATTCTACATAATGCGTGAACAGCAATACGTTCAGGTGTCTTGATTTGATCTAATTCTCTTCAGATTTGTGCATGGGATGTTCTTCATGACTCTGCCAGAGAAACCGTGCTCAACCCCTACATAGGAGGATTTGCAAGAAGTCTGGCTTTACTGAGTTCGCGCTTTGTGCCAGATCAATCGCTCAGCTGCAATTCCATGCATGCCATGAATCGACTGAGCCCAGCAATCAATGACAGATATTATGGAACAGCGACCAAACAATGTCTAACACTGACAATTTTTAAGTTGTTCATCCCGACAGCATGTGTATTCAGGTTTTTCTCCCACAGGTCTGTCTATTGAGTTTTTTTCTCCCATATTGAGTTTTTCTCCCACAAGTCTCCCTGTTGAGGTTTTTCTCCCACAGGTCTGTCTATTGAGGTTTTTCTCCTCAAACGGCTGTTTAACTCAAAATGCAAAGATCCAGCGCCCAAATTGCTTCTCCCTAGTCAAACGGTCGTTTGACTCAAAATGCAAAGATCCAGCGCCTAAATCGCCTTTTTTCCTAGTCAAACGGCTGTTTGACTCAAAATGCAAACGTCCAGTGCCCAAATCGCAAAGGTCCAGCACCTAAATCGCCTTTTCCTAGTCAAACGGCCGTTTGACTCAAAATACAAAGGTCCAGCGCCCCAATAGGCTTTTCCCAGTCAAACGGTCGTTTGACTCAAATGCAAAGATCCAGTGGGCAAATGGACTTTTCCTAGTCAACCGGCCGTTTGAGAGACGTCGGCCGTTTGAGTCAAAATGCACAGTCCAGTGCCGTCTCTCAAGCAGCCGTTGGACTCAAAATGCAAAGATCCAGTGCCCAAGTTGGCTTTTTCCAGTCAAACGGCCGTTTGACTCAAATGCAAAGATCCAGTGCCCAACTCGCCTTTCCCAATCAACATGCAACGATCCAGCGCCTAAATCGCGTTTTCCGAGTCAAACGGCCGTTCGACTCAAAATGCAAAAATGCACAGTCCAGTGCCGTGCCTCTAATGGCCGTTTGACGCAAAATGCAAAGATCCAGTGCCCAAATCGCCTTTTCCTTGCCAAACAGCCGTTTGACTCAAAATGCACAGATCCAGTGCCCAAATCGCCTTTTCCTAGTCAAACGACCGTTTGACTCAAAATGCAAAGATCAAGGCCCAAATCGCCTTTTCTTCATCAAACAACTGTTTGCAGTGCCCAAATCGGCTTTTCCTAGTCAAACGGCAGTTTGATTCAAAATGCAGAGATCCAGCGCCGAAATCGCGTTTTTTTCCAGTCAAACGGCCGTGTGAATCAAAATGCAAAGATCCATGACCGAAATCGTCTTTTCCTAGTCAACCGGTCGTTTGATTCAGAAAGTACAGGTCAAGTCCAGTGTCAAAACCGTCTTTTCCTATCCAAAAGACCGTCTGACTCAAAATGCGCAGATCCAATACGTTTGGGCCGAAAACGCTGCGCTGTCGAGCTTTTTTTGTCGGGGTTGTGCCAAAGCTTTGGCGCAGTTTTAGATTTCATTGCCAGTCGTGGTTACAACCCTTCCTCGGCTGAGCCAGTCACCTGCACGTTTGGAGCAAATGACTCAACGCAAGGAAAGATGACGCGAAGCCGCATCTTTCTCGAAGCTTCGGAGGTGGGTGCCTTCACCCGCGGAGCTGGAGGATTACTTGGCCTCGGATGACAAGATAGAGAAGGCGGAAGGGAGCGCAACGCATAGCCGAGCACCCGATTGCAACAGTAATGTTTGCCCCTGGCGATGTGGTTTTGAAGGGTCGTTGCTTTGGCGCTTTCTAGACCCTGATGCAGCGGCCTTTTGCAGATGTGTGCCATCGGAACACCCAACTGTCGGGTTGGTGGGGGATGATCATGAACCCTTTGATGAGGAATTTAGACCACATATTCGTTCTTTGGGTGTTTGCTTAGTCGTCTTCGCCATACATGGCTTTGACTCTGCCACGCTTTGTGAGCTGCCTGTTCTTAACCAACGATGTTGATCCTGGATCTCCTTTTATGTCATGAGAAGGGGGGGCATAGTTTGAGAGAAGGCCGCCAGGGTTTGTTGAACTCTCGGCCGCGGTGCAGGCTGGTGTCCAGTACCTGATGCAGGCCAACACCTTGATCCACCAGCTGGCGCCCAATGCTACCACAATAGCTCAGGACACCTCGCAGGCCGCAAACAAGTAATGGAAAGGAACGCAAGGAACGATGCGTGAGTTTAGCCGCAGCACTTTGGCAAGCGCTGGCGCAGGAGACAACTATGTACACGCATCTTTGTGAGAAGATTGAGGACGGTGGTCTCGGCTTTGACATCCGACAGGCAGGCGAATTAGTGCAGTGTTCAAGCAGTCAGCCCAAGCCTTATGAGGCTTGCAATGCTCCGAACCTCTTCCGAGAGCTGATGTTGGGATGCGGAAGCCCCGGAAGGTTGTTTGATGATTGCCTTCAGCCTACTTTTTCACATGTTTCTGGCCTCCTTACCAGGTCGCGATGAGGAGTGGAGCATGAAGAAGATTGTGGATGCCATGTCTGAGGCAGATGATGCTCACGGTCGTGAGTCGCATGACCCTTGCATTCTAGATTCTAGTGTTGAGAGCTTTTCGCAGGCATGTTAATTGGCAGTTCCAAAGGATGTAAACGCTCCTGATTGAGAGGCATGTCTTATCTGACTCAATGATTGGGCGCTCTTGAGGTCAAGCAGTACCGACCTGAAGACAAACTCCTGGGCTATTATGAGTCTGCGGAGCACGTTGCTCGGGGCCAAGGAAGAACACAAGAGAAAGCCGCTGGCAAGCAGAGTCACTGAATAAGAGTATTTAATGGCTTGCAAAGTTGTGGATGCAGCTTGCTCAAGCCAAAAATGCAGTCTGTGCAAGTCAGAAAGACAGTTCGTGTAAAATGTGCAACTCCAAGCATGTGAATTCGTCGTGCTCAGCACATTCTTGTTTGCTTACTCAAATGCTTTGAAACCTTGGTGTGTGGTGTTGCGCCTGTTGGTAAGAATGAAAACTAAAGCCCAGAAAAGGGTCTTTGGTGCTTCATCATTGTCATTGCCGGGTTGTTTTGGGTAATTGTCCCAGTCGGCAAATGAGCAAAGGAGTGCCTTGTCTGGTGGCATTGTACCCAGGTATTGGCACGCCGGCCTTTAAAGATTGCGATGCTCTCGTCAGGGCCTTTCCAATTCGATCAGATGGTTGCTGCTTGACCTGCTTCTACCTGGGTATGGCTCAAAATTAAAGAGCTGGGGTTACGCGAGTTTTCGTCTTTGGCTCCATTTACCAGGGTGCCATTTTGGTACCACTGTTTTGAGCCACAGCCAACTCACCTCACAGCATCAGAGAGAGTTCAGGTGCCATGGGCCCAGTTGCAGTTTCACTGCGCAGGTGGGAGACCCTGCACACCATTGCAGCTGGAGGTGTTGCTCCTCACGCTGCTCTCCCGCGTTTCAGCATACTCCACTGCCCCATGGGTTGTTCAGCAGGGAGATGCCTCTTTTGGGATGCGTTTGTAACCCCCTTTACAGGTAAAAGTAAGGGGCATGAGGGTTCCGAATTGAGACCAACAGTCTTTTTGGAAACCCCACGATATCACCGGCAACGTGTGCAGGTTACAGAGCTGGCTGGAGCGCTGCACAAGATTGGCCACTAGCCCAGCCTTTCTGAAATGTATGGCTTGGTGCATTTCCGCCACAAAGCTCAGGCCACACTGTGCACATTTTCACTCGATCCACCAACAATCGCACGTGGGAGAACGAGATTATGGGCGTCATCTACCATGAGGCCTTTCCGTCTTTGCAGAACTGCCGTCAGTGTTGCAAAGATGTCTCAATTCATATCAAAGTGAAGGCCCCGGCCAGATACCGTGGTTGGTCTCCCTGCGAAAGCTATCTCTTCTTGGTTCTCCTCTTATAGCCGTGCAAGCTTCGTAGGTGAACTTCGACACAAACAGCGACTTTGTGCGAGAGATCGAGAACATGTGCGCCGCCTTCGTCCCTTGGCCCAACACGAGAGCACATTCATTCCCTTGGGTCCCTGCAGTGTACTCGAACCGAATTAGGTGGGGCACTTCTTGCATGTCGAAGGTCAAGTAGGCGCTTCTTGCCATGTGGCTGCTTGCTTTGTGCGGTTTGTCACAGCACGTTGCTTGGCTTTCGGGTCAAGGTGGCTTTGACGTGATCCACGGCCACGACTGGCTGGTTGGACCAGCCGTCATCCAGCTTGCCTCCATGAACAAGCGGGTGCTGAGCTGAGCTGGATGTCTGAATGCCTGAGCTGACTTCCAGTGCTGTGACAGGTTATCTTCACCATGCACTCCACCGAAACTGGCCGCTGTGGCAACGTGGGGCTCTAAAGGAAAGGTTTTGGATGGCGCCTCACTTTCCCAGACGTGAGGTTCAGTATGGAGGACAGAGCGCACGAATCCGCTACCTGTCTGCATTGCTCATACATGGCTTATGCATTGTCAAAGCTCAAGGTCACCAGGTCAAAAATTCCCGATCTCAGGTACTATCGAGGGGCATGCATGCCATTCGGCGGAGCGTGTTATTGCGGTGTCGGGAGTTTTGAAGGAGGAGGCCGGGAGCTTCATGTTTATTTTGTTTGGCTACTTTTGAAGAGCTGCAACTTTCAGCTGCCTCAGGTGTGCAACCACTACCAAGTCCATGGAGCCAAAGTTGAGGTCATCTACAACGGTGGGGTCCTGACGCGCTCAAGCTGTTGCTTGCTCGCGCTGGCGCTGAGGCATCCACGCAGACGCCATTGCCAAGATGGAGTGGGAGGATGAATGGACGGGCAACACCAAGCGCGACAAGGTCGAGTCCAGCCCGATGCTTTTGACATGTTTGGAGTGAAGTGAAAAAATTAGAGCCTTCAGAGCAGGGCTTCGACGTGATGGATCCCATGTTCCTTTTCGTGGGCCGCCTGGCAGTCCAGAAGGGTCCTGATCTGCTCCTGGAGGCAGTCAAAGCCAGCAGGGCAATAAGATATTGACTGGCCTGCGGGCAGGCCATTCCCATGATTCTGAGCGCAAGGGGTAACGCCAAGTTTGTGATCGTCCCGCCCCGAGTCGCTGCGAGTCTGGTCGCCTTGAGTTCCAAGCGTAACACAAACGGTTCATACCACGTGCTTGAGGTTGGAGATGGACACATGAAGAGCCACCTCGAAGCCCGTGCTCAGCAGTTCCGGCCTTGGCATAGTGGTAAGTTCAGAAGGGATGTGTGTCATGTCCATGTGGAGCACGTGTTTCTCTGCATGACTACTCTCCATGCTCTGAGGCTTGGAGTTGCTCATGCGGTGCACTTTGCTGGCTCAGTCAAGAGTGGCACCACTCACCTGAAGGCCGGGAAAGGGAAAGGCTTGGCATCCGCAGCCTGCACTCGCCTGGAGGCGCTCTTCAAGTCCTGCGACGCCGTCGTTGTGCCCAGCAGGAACGAGCCATTTGGCATCGTGGTGCTGGAGGCCGGAACTTGAAGAAGGCAACATGTGACAAAGGCGGTGCTCTTCTTGGAACACACCCTCCCAAAGTCCCAACGTGAAGTCTCAACTTTGGGGCCAAGTGGGATGCGATGAGTCGACAGGCCTGGGCGGCCAGCAAGCCGGTGGTGGCCACCACCTGCGGCGGCCCTCGGGATTTCGCTGGCGGCCCAGTCAGCTCGGCAAGATGCAGCCGTGTCGGTTTGCACAACACGTGAGCATGGCTGGTTGGGAAGGGTCTACGTGAGTTACAAAGCATGACTATCGGCAGATTCCTTGTCATATGCTCGATGAGTGCTTTGTTTTTGTGCTTGGGCACCCTTGCTGGGTGAGACATGCCGTGGTTCATCCGATTGGGGACATGCGGACATGCGCACGTTTGATCGGAAAAAGCGGCGAGAACCAGCGGAACCCGAATCTTGCGATGCGTTTCAGCCATGGCCCTGGGATGCCTTGGCTCGCTTGCCGCGAGGTGAGACCAGACCGGGAGGGATATCTCGTGGATCCGAACCCTGGCAGTATTGCCTGCGACCCAAAGCGTTGCGAGGATCAGACCTCCGCAGCCACCCGGAGCCAAGGCATGGGGCGTCTGCAAGATCTGCGAGAACTTTGAGCACGCAAGGCGAGCCATGTTGCCGGCTGTGAACTCTGCAGAGTTTTAAGACCCACGCTTTCACGGCACCTTGCTACGAGGTGGATGGGTGCAGTTGCGAAGGAGAAGGTGGCGTGTGTTGGGATTACTTAACATGTGGAACTGCAGTGGAGTTTGATGACGAAGCAGCATGCAAGGCATGCAATCAGCTTGATGTGCTAGGCGCTGAACGAGTTCAACTGGTCCTTCATTGCACGGCAAACGGAGCAGTCTGCTCGGCATGCATTGACGCAGATGCGGGACTGAGATGGGCAAGGCCTTTTCACCTGAACACAGTAAATTGTAGCTTGGAGTACGCACTGTCACCGGTTCCCTGAAAATTGCCTGAGAAGAGAATCCAACACTTTATCATCTTTTAAATCGTGCATTTCCCCAGTTGGCAGCGAGCTTGACACAAATTCACCTTGACAGTCTCCCTGGTGTTTTCCCGAAAGCATGGCGAAGGGTTCTTCCGCTGGGTTCACTTGAGTTGTTCTCATGAGAGTCATTACAAGGTGTCATTGCAAGGAATCATCATCATAAAGTCAATGCAAGCAGTCATTGCAAGGAGTCATTGCAAGGAGTCATTGCAAGGAGTCATTGCAAGGAGTCATTGCAAGGAGTCATTGCAAGGAGTCATTGCAAGGAGTCATTGCAAGGAGTCATTGCAAGGAGTCATTGCAAGGAGTCATTGCAAGGAGTCATTGCAAGGAGTCATTGCAAGGAGTCATTGCAAGGAGTCATTGCAAGGAGTCATTGCAAGGAGTCATTGCAAGGAGTCATTGCAAGGAGTCATTGCAAGGAGTCATTGCAAGGAGTCATTGCAAGGAGTCATTGCAAGGAGTCATTGCAAGGAGTCATTGCAAGGAGTCATTGCAAGGAGTCATTGCAAGGAGTCATGAGAGTCATTGCGAGCTGCGCATGGAGTCAAGTGCACGTTGCAAGCGCAAGGAGTCAAGCAGAGCGCCTTGCCTAGAGCAACTTGCGCAGAGCAACTTGCGCAGAGCAACTTGCACAGAGCAACTTGCACAGAGCAGCTTGCACAGAGCAACTTGCAGGGAGCGCAACTTGCACAGAGCAACTTGCAGGGAGCCACTTGCAGGGACCAACTTGCCGGAGCAACTTGCGCGGAGCAACTTGCGCAGAGCAACTTGCACAGTGCAACTTGCGTAGAGCAACTTGCGCAGACCAACTTGCACCGACCAGTTTGCGCAGAGCACCTTGCCTGGTGCTGTCTCGTGCCAACTTGCACACACTGCAACTCGCACAGAGCAACTTGCGCAAAGCAACTTGCGCAGAGCAACTTGCGCATGTGTCGGGCCGGGGTTAAACAAGTCTGCCGTACATCGTGGGGAGTTATGCTTTCAGGCCACTCACGAAGGGTTCTTCCGCTGGGTTCACTTGAGTTGTTCTCATGAGAGTCATTACAAGGTGTCATTGCAAGGAATCATCATCATGAAAGTCAATGCAAGGAGTCATTGCAAGGAGTCATTGCAAGGAGTCATTGCAAGGAGTCATTGCAAGGAGTCATTGCAAGGAGTGCAAGGAGTCATTGCAAGGAGTCATTGCAAGGAGTTGCAAGGAGTCATTGCAAGGAGTCATTGCAAGGAGTCATTGCAAGGAGTCATTGCAAGGAGTCATTGCAAGGAGTCATTGCAAGGATTGCAAGGAGTCATTGCAAGGAGTCATTGCAAGGAGTCATTGCAAGGAGTCATTGCAAGGAGTCATTGCAAGGAGTCATTGCAAGGAGTCATTGCAAGGAGTCATTGCAAGGAGTCATTGCTAGGAGTCATTGCAAGGAGTCATTCCTAGGAGTCATTGCAAGGAGTCATTGCAAGGAGTCGTTGCAAGGAGTCATTGCAAGGAGTCACTGCAAAGAGTCATTGCAAGGAGCCATTGCAAGGAGTCATTGCAAGGAGTCATTGCAATTGGAGTCTTTGCAAGGAGTCATTGCAAGGAGTCATTGCAAGGAGTCATTGCAAGGAGCCGTTGCAAGGAGTCAAGTGCAAGTTGCAAGTGCAAGGAGCCAAGTGCAAGTTGCAAGTGCAAGGAGTCAAGTGCAAGTTGCAAGTGCATGGAGTCAAGTGCAAGTTGCAAGTGCAAGGAGTCAAGTGCAAGTGCAAGTCAAGTGCAATTGACTTGCGAGGAGTTAAAATCTCTTCTTAGGGCGGCGGGGTAGTGCCGACGACACTACACGAAAATCGACCCTCTGCGGGGATCGGCGTGGTCGAGGTGCAGAAACCCATGGTTTTTTGCGATTTCTGCGGTGCTCGCGCGACCCTCTGCGGGGATCGGCGTGGTCGAGGTGCAAAAGCCCATGGTTTTTTGCGATTTCTAAAGTGCTCGCGCGACCCTCTGCGGGGATCGGCGTGGTCGAGGTGCAAAAACTCAAGGTTTTTTGCGATTTCTAAAGTTCCCGCGCGACCCTCTGCGGGGATCGGCGTGGTCGAGGTGCAAAAACCCATGGTTTTTTTTGCGATTTCTGCGGTGCTCGCGCGACCCTCTGCGGGGATCGGCGTGGTCGAGGTGCAACAACTCGAGGTTTTTTGCGATTTCTGCGGTGCTCGCGCAACCCTCTGCGGGAATCGGTCGGGGTGCAAAAACTCAAGGTTTTTTGCGACTTTTGTTGTTCCAACTGGTCCTCGGGAGTTGTCTCGTGGCTCGCGCGCCTGCTCCCGGAACCGGCGGGTCGCGGGTTCGATTCCTCCCTGGTCCGCGGGCGGGCGTCGCAAGATGCAACTTGCATTTTAAAGCAACTCGCGCAGAGCAACTTGCGCAGAGCAAGTTGCACAGAGCAACTTGCGCAGACCAACTTGCACCGACCAGTGTGCGCAAAGCGCCTTGCCTAGAACAACTTGCGCAGAGCAACTTACGCAGAGCAACTTGCACAGAGCAACTTGCACAGAGCAGCTTGTACAGAGCAACTTGCAGGGAGCGCAATTTGCACAGCAACTTGCAGGGAGCCACTTGCAGGGGCCAACTTGCCGGAGCAACTTGCGCGGAGCAACTTGCGCAGAGCAACTTGTACAGTGCAACTTGCGTAGAGCAACTTGCGCAGACCAACTTGCACCGACCAGTTTGCGCAGAGCACCTTGCCTGGTGCTGTCCCGCGCTTGCTTCACAAATGCTTCGTGGAGGGAAAAAGAACGCATCCTGCAGCGTTGGGCCGGCCTCGCTTGCGATGTTATGCTTTCGGGCCAACCGTGGTCTAGTTTTTCTTCCCCTTTGGGGCCCTTGGCCGTGCTCTGAAAGTAGTTGCGGTGAAATCCACTTCCCCAAATGTTAATGCAACATTGGACGGGAATTGCCGGTTCCCAAGTTGTTCGACGTTTTTGTTGCCAGGGTCTACTACGAGCAGATGAATCTGCACGGCACTCCCAAGTTTCAATGTCGGGGTCCTGGCATCGGCTCCACCTTGGCCACCAACGTGCTGGGCCAGCACCGTGCCGAAGCCTCGGAGGAACGCGCGTGAGCGCGCGGGGCGGTCTGAAGCGCATTTATGGGGAACCTGGATTTTCTTGCTTTTTCTTTCCCCAAATGTTGGTCTACTCTTGATGTCCGTTGTTCTAGCTTGGGCACATCTCGATTTGGATTGGGGCCCTTGTACGCTCGCTTTTTGGGCGGGATGCGAGCAACTGGTGTGTTGGGACAATGGGGCCCAATCGAATTTCCCAATTCCTCTGAAAAGTAGATCACGTTGCGTCGTGAATGTTTGAAGTTGAGTCATTCTGAGTGACTCAGGGCAACATGGGAGTCCTGGAGAATAACTTCCTGGTGAAGAGAGGTTTGATGTTGCCGGGATCCTAGTTTGGGATCTACAAAACACTTGGTGAATTGTGCAACGCTGCAGGTTGAAAATGTCCAAGTTGGTCACCGCTGCCATGGGCCGATATCTCAGCAAACCCTTCGCGATTGTCTCGAAGCAATCTGTCAAGACCATGCGGAAGCCAAGACAGAGAGGTGCCGCTCGGAGTGCTCTAAGCATCACCAAGGATCCGATGCGAGCATGACGTGGATGGGCTCTGAGTCTGGGGCCTAACCTTGCCGCGTCCAGCGCTCAGCGAGCCTTGGAGCCCAGGTTTGGCATGCTGGATGCCCTGGACCTGCCCAGACCTGGAAATGGCCACAGCAAGGCCTGGTTTCGGGCATTGGGCTGTAGCCTGTCCGAGCAATTTGCAGGACAAAGCCTTCGTGCCGTACAGCACGGCGGACCCTTGGCAGCATTTTCCATGTTGTTTGTCCTGTCATGGCCCAAAGCATGCTGGCTTGTTCCGCCTGACTGCAAGGAAGACACGGGTCTGATGTACAAGCATGGCTCCTAGACGTTGAGATGTGGTCATTACTCCTGCACTTCCGGTCACCCCAGGCACCTGGACGTGTTCGACGTTTTCATTAACAGGATTGGGGCAGCTCTGCAGCCATGCCCTCAGATCGTGCTGTTTGCTGGCAAGGCACTGAGAGACATGTTGAGGGCTCACGCAGATGTGCAGCATGCTCACTCTGTGTCTTGGGCAGGTGGCTGAAATCTCCAACACACCAAGTCGCTGTGGCTGACGAAGAAAAGAAGGTGCTGGTTTGGGTACGAAGCGGTGTGGGACTCATGCTTGCAACAACTGCCGTCAGAAGCGGCACACCCGCTTGTTTTTGTGTAGCGGGCCTCATGCAGTGATTCAGGTTGCATCTTTGCCATCAACTTCCATCCCAGCAATGCGCTGACCGACTTCCGAATAGACCTGCCCAAGGCGAGTTGACATGTTACGCTTTGCGATGCCCAGTGAGACCTCGTTGCACAACCCCAGTCGCCAGGGTGTGGAGATCAATAGGGAAGTGACGATCGCTTTGGACACCGAGGCATGAACATGCTTGTGCCACTGGGTGTTGGGAGGGAAGTGCCACGGTGCCCGGGACGAAGCTCTCGCATTCTGAGAGAGACGTGAGACGTCTCATAGTATTTTTGTTCAAGCCCCAGTCACTCGAATTATCGAGCTTGGTCAACTTTCTTTGGCAGGATCCGCGCTTCGGTGGACTGAATGAGGAGCCCTTGTTGAAGCCGTCTGGCAAGGCTTGCGCAGCTCAGATGGGAGGTGTTGGCTCTTGGCAAGTGAAACAACTACAAAAAGTCCATCTCTCGCATGTGACCTTGTTGCTGTGGCCTGTCAGTTCAACACTGGGCTGCTGAAGCTCAACCTGGGGCCGAGGCCCGCATAGGCCATTTTTGCCTAACTCCCCTCAGCAGCCTTGGCCAGGACTGGTCTAGTGCTCGCGCCGCCGGACAGGGCGGAAAAAGCGCTATCTTCCGACAAATTGTCCCTCGGCCGCAAAAGCAAGCAGCGAAACCTGAAGAGTGGAGTGTTGCAGCTGTCCCACGCCAGGTTAAAGTGCAAGACAGCCGACGCACTATTGGGCGCATAATTCTACGGGACTCTTTTGCGAGTGCATGTGGAGTTTTCAAAGAACAACACAGTCCACAGACCACAGACTTCATGCTTCACACCCACCAAACTGCAAGGCCTGCAGTGCAGGCACAAGTATGCACCGCATTGCAGACCCGCTCACATTCAAAGGAGTGTGATCTGGAATCTATGCTTTGCCCACATTTATATTGCCAGTCATGCAGCGATGCAGTTTTTCTTTAATACCGCCCATGTCCGTAACGATGGATAGCAGGGGCATGAGGGCATCGGCATTCCCAGCCATCCCTGAAATAGATTGTTTTTCTGTGTTTCTCCCAGGTTTTCCGGCGTGCTTTGGAACATTGATGCCATCGCTAGCTGTTATTTCTGTGCCTTGGTTGATGCCTTGAGCAAAGCACGCCACCGCTCATTGAGGCCGTTAGGAGGCGTGTGTCCTGATAAACACAGTACATACTCAGCCGGAGCCAGCAGTTGGCACCATCTGATGAGCGTGGAGAAAGTCGTCAGCCGATTTCAGAGGCACTGAATCATTTGCCCTTGGAATTTTAGAGGATGTGTTTTTCGTCTTGCTCAGAATGCTTAAATGCAGACTCCTTACGCGCCAGGTGTGCCACCTGTGGGGCCATCCATGGTACCTATGGCACCCATGGTGCCCATGGCATGGAATACGCCTCGCTTCAGTTTGCATCCAGGCAAGGGATCCGCTTGTTGGCACGTGGACGTGTGTCAGCGACAGGTGGCTATAAGTTGCCTGCCTGGACCTCGGTTGAGTGCTTTAGACGGTCAAAACCCCCTGGTGAACATCAAAATAGGGGGTACATGGGTGTTCATCCGCCCCAAAGTGGAGGCATAGGTTATGACTATGTTATGACCCATGGCCATGTCGCATTTCGAAGAACGAGACAGCGCCCCGTTCGCTGTCTTCCAGGCCGGCAGTCCCATCCAGACGCCGCGCAGCTGAGCTGGACTCGGCTTGCCAAGCACATGCCAAGCGCAAGCTAAGCGCAGCGAGGCTATGCAACAAGCTCCACCTGCTCGGTACGGGTCGTCCCGGCACCTGCTTGGGGCTTTGGTGCCCTTGTTTGGAAGATGGTATTGCTGTGTCACGATCACTAGAAGCATTATTGACAGCTGCACTTCTTAGGTGAAGCATGGGTGTAGCCACATTCTTTCGCTTCCTCCAAGTATGAGACTTGGAAAGTGCATTGCGTGTAATATGCGCATGTGGCTGGCACAAGCTTTCAGATCACTCGCCTTCATTCCGCATCCCCGTTGAGGTGGAGTCTCTTCCCCTGCCAATTACGGGGTGCCCATCTCGGTCACATCAGCTGGCACTGGCAATGAGGGTTGTCAGTGCAGGCGTATTCTGCCTATTCCGCGTCGACGGCATTCCCCACTCCCGCCTTGGCCTCGAGTTCGTCTTGGGACTCGAAGTGGCTATGGGTCAACATCAACATAAGGTGGCAAATGGATGTTCCACCCCAAAATGGGATCGCCATAGGTTATGCAACCCACCAAGTGAAAAGCGGGGACGTGAGCGAGGCCTCCTCCAGCAGCTCGTCCATGTGGTCTCAGCCCTCGAAGGCCAAGGCGCGGAACGGACACGCCGAAGCGCCGACGCGCGGTACGGCCCTTTGGCGTGTCGGGACTCCCGAGGTTGGCAGGCCCTTTGACATGCCTCGCGCATCAGTCAGGGCAAGGCACAGGGATTGGGCCAAGCAAAATCGCGCAAGGGCTTCGGTGGGCCAGCACCACATGTACTTTAAAGATCCGGTGGCTTGTAGATTGAAGTCTTGAACGTCTGGTCTGGAAAATCTGAAAAGGTTGGCTTTCGGGGAGCCATGAAGAGTTTCTGGAAGCACGTGTACTCTTTTGTCTGTTTTTCGGACCGACCGCACCAGGTGTGCTGCATGGGAGGATGCCAAGCCGAGAGCGTGGGGCGCCGAGCCATTGGAGAGCGGGGATTTGGTGCGGCTAAGGCAACGAGCTCAGAACCAGAAGACTGAAGGACAGCCTCAGAGATGCCCCCGCGCGCGCGCGCGCGTGCCCATGCAGACAGAGTGCAGGATCTGCAGAGGGCCTCTCACGGCCTCGCTCTCGGCCAGCCACCCCGAAGCCAGGGAAAGTGGAGGCAGGGAGGGCCGGAATGTGATGGTAAACGCCGGGACGCGGGCCTTGGCGTAGGCCTCTGCTGTCAAAGTGCCAAAAGAGGCCTGGAGCATTTGACCTGTCGATTTTCTCATGAAGTTGGCAGGCTGTGAACTTCAGGATACCAGTGAAGGCCAGGAAGGAGGGGCCGTTGCAGTGCCATGCGTTTGAGCCATCATTGCAGCTCTGGAGAGAGAGAGAGAGAGAGAGAGAGAGAAGCGACATTCTCCAACGATGATGGGACCAGGACCCCAGAAGATCTTTGTCATCCCTCAGGGGAAGTGAGCCTGCCACACAGTCACAGCTTGCCATGCAATCGAACTGGGAGTCGATCGCTTGGCAATGCCCAATGGATGAGGTCTCAGAGTTCGTCTCGGTGCCACGCTTAGCCGGGCGGTTCCATCCGCTGCGTGCAGCCTGTTGTGCAAGCTGTCAGGAATGGGTCGAAGGAACTCCTGCCTGGAGCTTGTTGGATGACGCTGAAGCGCGACTGTCCTGGCTGCGCTCCGAGGTGGTCTCTATCAGCCAGCTCCCTGCTGTCCTCCGCAGGCGCCTCCGCTGTTCTTGTGGTTCTCGTAGCGCCATGCAACTCATCTTCTCAGCTGATCAGGCAAAGATGCGAGTCGTTGATTCATTTCTCAGGCTGCCAAACCCCCCTGCCGCGCGTGCTGGAGGAGAGGGATGGTGATGCTGCAGACGACCAGGAGGCAGTGTTGCGTTCTTAGTGGCGGCCACTTCCGACGGCGCCATGCAGGGAAGCCTTTCTTCGGTCATTCGGCAGATGGAGGACTCCATCCAGGGCCTGAGGAACTGGCATGTTGGTCCCAAACGTGCCATTGCACTGCACTGTTCATGCGGGAAGTGGATGGCCGTTGATCATCTTTCTGGGTCACTTGCGACGTCTTCACATTGGTCCGATCCGTGTTTCCAAGCGCTGGGTGCCCGTGACAGGTTCCGGCGTCGGCCTTCCGCTGCGAAGCCGCAGAGCTTCGTGAGGCCCCCACAGGACGGGGGCACCCATGGCTCAGGCAAGTGCAGGTGTGCCCCTCCGGTTGCCGCTTCATCCGGGGGCACGTGCTCCTCACTTTTTGGAGAGTCTTTTTCCCCTGCTTTCGAAGCCAGCCGCCATCTTGGAAGGATAGGTGTGCACCTCTGCTGTGAGTGTTGCCAGCCTTGTGTCTAGATATGGGCTCCTTTCACTTCCTGTTTTCGCCACGCCACACGTACCCCACGCGCTTTCTCTTGCCTGACCTGTCCTCTCGAGGAGTCTGAATCTCGGAAATCCTCAGAGGTTGCAAGTGGAGGCCGTTGGCCTGGGCTGTGGGAGATCTATGCAGATTGGTGCATGTCGGGATGTATTTGTGCTATCTAAGAACACGGCCTCCATCCATGCAGCGCACCAACGCACGAATCAATCCATGTTTCATCCACCCCCTGTCCATATTTATCCCAAACACACATATTGACACTGCAATCCTTCCCAAACATCTTTTATCTTATCCTATGCCAGCCTATCCTATTCGAACATATTCCACTCTAGCCTCGTCTCATGATTAGTCTGATTTAAGACGACGTTGAGCTTAGGCCGATGTAGTTAGGATCCATTCTTCTCGAAATCTAAACGTCTCATTCCATCACATTGCTCATTTGTTCCAACCCGATCCCAATCCTATCCCATTCCTGTCCTATTCAAGCTGAATCTAACCTGCTCATATCCAATCGCTCCTCGAATCTACCGATTTGCCGATTTGCATCTCTCCACTAGTCACTCAGCTTTCCTTGCCAAGCAAAAACCTTCAGCGACCCGAGATCCCTTCGAGGCATTTCCGCCTCACCAGTCGCTTGAGCACCGCGTCGCTTGCCAATGTTTGGCGCCTTCCTTCCAGGCCTAGCCCCGGAACGGGCCATGGAGAGGGCAGGCGGGAGATGCGCTGGTGGCACGTGGCCGCGATGTTGGCGCGATGTTGGTCATTGCTGGCTCAGCCATTGGCAAAAAGAGGACAGCCATCCAGCCGGCAAGCAAGCAAGCCCGAGAGCTGGCAGCTAGTAAAGTAGGATTGATCACTTTGCTCAGCTAAACCACTTCGCCGAGATGCGCCTCTCACCTGAGCCATGGAGCTGACGTCGAGGCATGTGGCGCTGCAAGCCTCGAACGGTGGGGGCCTGGGCAAGGCGATGGGCCAGCGCTCAGCCAGGCAGTCCCCACCAAGATGTCAAGGTGGGCATTTGCGCATGGAGGTGCTCCGCCCCGCTGAAGTTTCTGATAGGCGCAAATTATTGCTTAGCAGTGTTCCCTTCCACACTTGGGGGCATGTACGGAAGCTTGGTAGCTTCCAGCATGAGGGAAAGCACAAGGAACACTGGCAACTCCAAATCGCCCAATGCGCCGCGCGCGCCGCGCGCGCCGCGCGCGCCGCGCGGGCGGTGCCCAGGAGCTCTTCCGCGAGCGCCTGCCGTCGCCCTGCGACGGGCGGCGCCTGGCGGAGCTGGCGCTGTGCGCAGGGCGTGCGGCCGCGGCGCGGGAGCTGCGGGGCCGGGAGAAGGCGCTGGTGGCGTATCGCCTGGATGCCGCCGGCTGGTTCTCCAGGGACCTTTGTGAGGAGCGAGACGGAGGGGGAATCATGGGGTAGATGGGATAGATGGGAGGGAGACAGATGGAAGATGCACAGTGTCATGTTGAGGATGGACATCAGGGGAGGGCTTTGCCTGGCCGAGAGGGCAGTCGCGCGCTTGGCCCTTGTTTTTCTTGGTCAGGCCTTTGCGCATGACGCGGAGGGCTTCGTGGGGCAGCTGCTTGTGGCGGAGTGGCTGGTGCTGCTGCGCTACTTCACCGCGTGCGGCTTTGTGCACGAGGCCTTCAGCGCCGCCGCGGCGGCGTGGCTGGGCCAAGGCACGGGCCAGCTGCAGATGGCACAGCTCCAGGAGCTGGTGGCCGTGCTGGCGCGCTCGGGGCACCTGCAAGGCGAGGCGGTGGTGAACGCGCTGAAGCACTTGCCCACGGAGCCCGAGGACGGGATGCTGGTCGAGTTGATGTTGATGCAAGTTTACGATGTGTTTCATGCCGTCCCTCTCTGGAACATGTCTAGGATGGTTTGCCGTTTGCTCTTCCTTCCCTAAGGAGGAGGTGATGCTGAGGCTGGCGGCATGCCTGGCCGCGGCCGATGCAGGGGAGCGGGACTTCTACCGCAGCGTTATCTCCAAAGTGGCTGTGCCCAAGACGGAGGAGGGTTCCGACTTGCGAGGGTGGCCTTCTGTGCTGGACGGGCCAGACAGCAGCGATTTCTGGCGCCTGGCGCTCTTGCTGCTGTTGGCCAAGGCGGAGGTGGTGGTTTGGCCAAAGGTGCTGAGCCTCCTCCGGCGGATGGACCCCCAGGTGGCCTCTTCCGTGCCAAGTGCCCAGCTGCCACGGCTGCTGCGGCATTTGCATTTGGCTGCCCTCGAGAATGATGTGATCCTTCTTGAGGGGCGACCTGTAGCCAAAGAGCTCATGAAGGCTGTGCATGTGGATGAGTGGACGCCAGAAGAGCTGGCTGGTGCAGCGAGTGCTCTGGGATACCTTGCGGTGGTGGATGTCAATGTGGCGGAGGCGGCGAAGCAGACAGCTTTGTTGGCCGTTCTCTGCCTTTCGCTTGTGTCTCCTTCCCAGGCCATTCGACGGAAGCTCGCGCAGAGCACGGCAGAGACAACGCCGGAGTCGCAGAGGCCAGGTTTGGTGCACGCTGATGTGAGATTGCTGGTGGAGTAGGCATTTGGTGCAAGCTGCGTGCTGGGCCTAGACTCATTTTGATGTCCACTCATTCCACTCCATGCAAAAGCCACTGGCCACTAAGGTGGGCCTCTTGCGTGGCAAGAAGCCTTCAGCCGCATTGGGAGCCAGGCCATAGATCTCCTTTGATCACCGCACCCTGCGCCGCCCTATTTGAAGGCCTCCCAGAGCTGCGCGAGATCGGCTCCCCTCCGCCTGCCAACAGGCGGGCTGCGCATGGTGGAACCACGGTACCTGGGGCAGGGGCGTTGGTTTGCGGCGTTTCAGATTCCTAGAGCAGATTCAGTATAGACGAGGGTTAACAACGACACAATTCGTAGGCACGATGAAGGGCACTTGTAGAGGAGCTTGTATAAATGCGTGATTACGGTCCAAGGAAAAAGTAGCCTTCCTCCAACCCCTAAAAACCTGTGGCCCCATCACCTACCACCTTTGGGGTTGGCTTCAGGGGAAGCAACCACGTAGGGTTGCTCTAGGAGCCCGCATGGGCCGAAACTGGAAAACTAGAAGCTCAAAAGGTGAAGGCTCAACTGACAAAACATCAACACTTAAGCCTGGTTGGTCTCCGACCCTGCAAATTTTGTGCAAGCTGAAACCAGAGAGCAACCAAGCCTTCGAGCAACCATCCAAAAAGGGTTGCTTGATGTTGGTACATCCCTCGAATGACTGAATCCTCAGCCTTGAGGCTCTGGCGCAGGTTGCCTCAGGGGAACTGTGAAGGTCGCGAAGCGAGCCAGAAACTTTCATAGGAGATCGGTTCACGCAGCATTCACAGTCCCATGGCTGAGTTCAAGAATGCCTACGAGGACCCAAAGCGGGCCGCAGAATACGCCAAGATGGAGTTCCCTGGCACATATTTTACGGCATTCCGCGACCTGCCGCTTCTATATCGAACACATGTGAACGGCGACAGGGCGCTTGATTTTGGCTGCGGTACCGGCCGCTCCACCCGGTTCCTGGAGGCGCTGGGCTTCAAACCAGTGGGCATCGACATATCCGCTGACATGCTGAAGATCGCCAGAGAGCTGGGGGATGGAGATTTCCGCTTGATCTCGGACGGCGACTTCAGCTGCCTGCAGAACGAGTTCGATTTGATTCAGTGCGCGTTCCCCTTCGACAATGTCCCTGATGCTTCGCACCGCATTTCGCTCTTCAAAGGCCTGGCTGGCTGCCTTGCCGTTGAGGGCAAGCTGGTCATCCTTGGCGCCACGCCGGACATGTACTTCAACGAGTGGGCGAGCTTCACCACGAAGGAGTTCTTGGACTTCAACCGCAAGGCCAAGAGCGGGGGCGTTGTACGCATCGTTACCTACGGCCACGAGGACAGTCCTCCTGTTGAGGATATCCTATGGCTTGACAGCGACTACCGGGAGCAGCTGGCCGCCGCAGGGCTTCGGATTGTCGAGAAGCACCTCGCGTTTGGAAAGGATGGCGAGCCCACTGGCTGGGCCACTGAGAAGGATGTGGCCCCTTTTGCGATTTATATAGCTGAAAGAGCCAGAACATGAAACGCGGATTATTGGCACGATCATGAACTTGGACGAGGACCCGCGATTGTCCAGGTCCGGAGAAGCAGAGCGGACGCATGGCGGAGCCAGCGCAGGCATCTCTGCAGGGGACCTTGCTTCCATCCCAGCATATGTTTACAGCGCCGAGCTCAAGGACGGCCGGGCCGGCTTCGCCCTCTGAGGCATTTTCCTTGCCTCGCCCGAACTGTGAAAGCCGCGCATCCGCCGGAAAAACCTGGCCAGCGCAGATAGACCCTTTTAGTTGGCATCTCACACCACCCCATTATAGGGATCCGTAGGTCGGGGGCCGTATATGAGATGTACGCCGTTTGCAGTGCAGAAGGCCGAGCGCACATGTCCCAGGCAGATGCAGCAGCAGATCCGGCAAGTGGCTCTCAGCGTGGCGGCAGCAGCCAATGGCATTCTCCCTGCGTGGCGTGGCAAATTCATGTTGCAAGTGACATCAGCAGGCCCAATCCTGATGGCATTGACTGCTGTGTCAAAATCTGAGGCAATGTGATGAAGCGGCAAAGGAAACGGCGTATGCCTGGCTGGCTGCTGGGCCAGGCAGAGCCTTCCTCACGCCACACAGGCGCTTCGCTTGACCCGGCTTGGCTGGGGGAGGGCAAGCTTGTGTCTGGGAGCACATCCACACATTGAGAAGCCACACACACCCACACAAACAAACACACATTCTCGCATGCCCCAAATGTTTAACATTGTTAACGTGCTGTGGTGTACCTGCCAAACCTGCCCGACAGGTGCAGTGACCAAGTTCGCATCTCGAAAGCCTTCGCTTCCCGCTTGAGAGAACTTGGTGCAGAGCTCAGATCGTCCTGTGCAAAGCTTTTGATACATTCGCGGATGAGAGCTATCCAAGACTTTTGGACAGGATGTGAGAGCGGAAGAGCATGCATAAAGATTCAAAAAAAAAAGCCCTTTCGATAGCACCCTGAAGCAGAAGAAGAAGCACAAGAAGAAGAAGAAGAAGAAGAAGAAGAAGAAGAAGAAGAAGAAGAAGAAGAAGAAGAACAGAGAAGAGGAGAGCAAAAAACAGAAGTAAGAGGAGAAGAACAATAAGATAAATGAGACAGGAATACCAATACTATTGACTTGGATTTGGACGAGCACACAAAACACAGTTTCTGGAGCTTTGCCCGAGGTGTGTATTGCCGCGAGGAGCCGCGTTGGAAAGCTATGGTAGCTGGCCTAGGCCATACCTGGGAGGAGGCTGGACATGAGAACAGTGTGACCGCATATGACTGCCACGGGCTGGCTGCCTTTGCGTCTTGAGTTGCTCCAGCTGGCAGTTTCATTCCCATGCTAGGGATCAATCACCCGAACCGGAACCAGACCTCGCGCCTCGTGAAATTCAGACATATGTAATATAATATATATATATATATATATTTGCATCTACGGGAAACATGACCTTCTTTTAGCATCCGCATGCTGGCTTAAACCAACTCAGATTCAGCGCCCACGCTGCAGCGAATGCAGGCCCCACGTCGCCCAAAGATGGCTGCGCAAGGGAGGGGCAGGCCGGGAAGAGGTTGGCAAGGGCTGGGCATGCGGCATGTGTCAAACAAAGGGGGGACCCCAAAATGGTGGTCTTCCTGGAAAGGGAAACCCTTAAGCCAACCCTCAAAAAGGTACCCTCACAATGCGCACACAAGCTGTTTGCATGGACTGTAATATATATATATATATACCAATGTACATTCAGTTGTACATATGGATGCTACTTGTCCCAGGGATGTATACGAGGAAACCCCCGCGCCTCCATTTTTTTCTACGAATCCTTTCAGCTCCCCAGGAAAAACAGGCCCCATTCACACACAACTGGGCGTTTCGGCCTTCCGAGCACCCAACAGTGGACGGGCCTCTTTGCGCTGGTCATTCCAAGCCAGATTTGTTGAAGCTTTGCGCAGTGAGACTTGCAGGTCTGAATTCTTAGCATGTCCAAGTGTCACGGCCACGCCATGATGGCACATATTATGTGACAACATCTTATCATTTGGCAGCTGTTGATACAGCGCTGCACGGGGTGCTCCTGAGCATATGCATGAAGTCGTGCTCCCCACGCGTGCGGTTTGTTACCCAGAGGCTTGAAAGTGGCCGGCGAACATAGACCCCCTGTAAATGATCAATTCATCATCGTGCCCATTTGGCATGGGCTTGCTGTGTATAGCACGTCGCAACGTGCCTCGCCAGGAAGTCGTCCCAGACCCCCCTCAAGAGGCGCGCCTGTGCACAATTGGGCTACAATCGGATGGAGATTGGAAGGGAACGGTCCCAACGGAGGCAACTTGGTGCGGAAAGAAGCCGTTATTTTGATTATTTTCATGGTTTGTGACCCCTTTTTACCAGGTTTTGATTGTAAGTCAATTGACGCTTGGACGTGGGTGTTTCCAAAGCTTATAAACCCTCTCGGCCTCTCGGCCTTTGGCTAATGTCAGAAAAGCGCAAGCCAGCTAATCACTTTTTGGGGGCCCCAACCATGCCCACGCATCTCGTGTTAGTTGCCACACGCAGGCCCGCCACAGCATCGAGGGCAGCTCGGGACACTTTTGCAGCGCACCTACTTTTCGAAGCTTCTGTCCAAAGATTCTCAGGTTGCGAGGTGAGTTGCTCGAAATTGAGTAGAAACATGTCTATTGCCCCAATCAAGACTCGGATGTGTTGAAAGGATACTGATTGGGCCTAAGAAAGTGATTGTGGCTTTTCACGCAGGTCGTGGTTTACACGCCGCCTGCAAAGCTGGGGGGTGAAAAGCAGAAGAAGGCCACAGAGGGTTGGGGAGGGAAGAGGGAAACGCTGGCCTTGGACGCTAAAGCCAATCTTCACCAGTACAGTTTTTGGCAAGGGTCGTTTTAATGGTTTGCACTTGCAAGCCAACATTTGCAACAGTCGTATGACTCTCATGAAGGAATGAATGGATGAATGAATGAATGAATGAATGGAATGGAATGGAATGGAATGGAATGGAATGGAATGGAATGGAATGGAATGAAATGAAATGAAATGAAATGAAAATGCATGCATGCATGCATGCATGCATGGATGGATGGATGGATGGATGGATGGATGGAATGAATGAAATGAATGAATGAATGAATGAAATGAATGAATGAATGAATGAATGAATGAATGAATGAATGAATGAATGAATGAATGAATGAATGAATGAATGAATGAATGAATGAATGAATGAATGAATGAATGAAATGACACGACACAACACGACACGACACGACACGACACGCCACGACATGACATGACATGACACGACATGACAGGACAGAACAGGACACGACATGACATGACGTGACCTGACAAGACATGACATGACATGACAGGACACGACAGGACAGGACAGGACAGGACACGACACGACACGACATGACATGACATGACATGACGTGACATGACCTGACATGACGCAACACGACACGACATGACATGACATGACATGACAGGACAGGACAGGACACAACACGACACGACATGACATGACATGACATGACGTGACATGACCTGACATGACGCAACACGACACGACATGACATGACATGACATGACAGGACAGGACAGGACACGACACGACAACACACGACATGACATGCCATGCCATGCCATGCCTGACATGACATGACATGACAGCACACGACAAGACAGATCATGACATGACATGAAATGAGATGAGATGACATGACAGGACGGGACAGGACACGCCACCACACGACACGACACGACATGACATGACATGTTACGACACGACACGACAGGACATGACATGACATGACGTGACCTGACAGGACATGACATGACGTGACAGGACAGGACAGGACACGACACGACAGGACAGGACATGACATGACATGACAGGACACGACCTGGCACGGCACGACACGACATGACATGACATGACATGACATGCCAGGACACGGCACGCCACGACATGACATGACGTGACCTGACAAGACATGACATGTCCTGTCAGGACAGGACAGGACAGGACACGACGACACGACCCGACACGACACGCCACGACATGACATGACATGACACGACATGACAGGACAGGACAGGACACGACATGACATGACGTGACCTGACAAGACATGACATGACATGACAGGACACGACAGGACAGGACAGGACAGAACACGACACGAAACGACATGACATGACATGCCATGACGTGACATGACCTGACATGACGCAACACGACACGACATATGACATGACAGGACAAGACGACACGACACGACATGATTTGACACGGCCCAAAGGCAGGACACGACCCGACACGACACGCCACGACATGACATGACATGACATGACAGGACACGACACGACACGACATGACACGACATGACACGACACGACACGACCCGACACGACACGCCACGACATGACATGACATGACATGACAGGACACGACACGACACGACATGACACGACATGACACGACACGACAAGACAGGACATGACATGACATGACATGACATGACATGACACGACACCACACGACATGAAATGCCATGCCATGACATGACATGACAGGACACGACAAGACAGGACATGACATGGCAGAACATGACATGACACGGCACGACACGACACGACATGCTGGGAAACCAGAAGTTATCGCCCAGGCCTTCCGAGTGACTCTTTGGGCAAAGCACCCCCTGCTGGTCCAGGGTGAGAGGCCCAAAAGAACAGCACCGAGTGCTTGGCTGCAGTCTCGCTCAGGCCCCAGACCCGACGCCTTGAATGGCTTTGAGGCGAGCTCAGTATTAGGCGCTCCTTGGCGCTTTTTGGGCGCTCGTCGGCGCTTGCCAGGCACTGGAGTGGTCGCTGGTTGAGAGCGCCAAAGGCGGGCGGTGAGATGCCTTGAACGCTGTTCGGGTATGGGTCAAAATTGAACCACCAGGGGACCACAGGTTTTGGTCCATGCTTCCACTTACTAGGGTTCCAGTTGGGGTACCTATTTTTGACCCACAGCCGTCTGGAGAATGGATGCCAGGGAGCGCGGATCGACTTGAGCACATCCTTCTCCTCGTTAGGCGCTGTTGAACAGCGGTGCTTGGCCGCCCCGACTTGTTTGCCAGGAGCGACTCCACGCCGGAGGGTGCTGCTGCTGCTGCCGAGAAGTTTGCCGGGGAGTGGACACCTGAGAGATCGATTCGGACAATGCATATCCTCGACACTTGAGCATCCTAAGCGTGTGAGGTATTTGGGCATCACTGAAGTGCAGCCAAAGAAGGCACAGGCTGGGGGCTGCTATTGTCAGCATGCCATCCCCATGCTAAAGCCTTTTCCTCTCCCCCCGTGTCTCACTTTGACAGGAAGCCCAAGAGGGTTGTGTGCAGCAAAGATGCGATAAAGATGACAACACTTGCGAACTATGTTCCGAACACGTTCCAGACCTGCACATGCCAGGCAAGTGTCTCAGCGACGCCCCACAAGCGTGAAGCGCGAACCCCACGCGCACGACGAGTGCGGAAAGGAAAAACGGTGCTGCTGTGCTGTCGACTGCGCGGGGCGGAGGTGGCCCCCGGCCGCGTTTTGGACACCTGCCAGGCCAGCTGAGCCAGCTGAGCCAGCTGAAGCAGAAGTTGGAGACCATGTCATCCCAGGTTTCCCGGCCTGGCTTCCAGGGTTTTTGTCGCATGCTGACCACTGCAGGAGTCGCAGGCCTCGGAGGAGGCGGGACCTCAAGCAGCAACTCATTTGGCCATAGTCAAAACTCTGGGTAGATGAAGGTTAGTAAGGGACCAGCACAATATGGATAGCTGCCGGCGCGCCTTCTGAATTCTTTGCATGGTTCTGGGTAGACCATTTTAATACCGGGTTTTGGTTCTGACTCATTTGGCGGAAATGGCCCCGAATGCATGCTGTGCCAGTCACGAGCATCCACCCCGGCCATCCCGCACGACATGCCCAGCCGCTGGCCGGGGAGCCAAAAGAAAGGAAAATCTGGCAGGCGCACAAAGGGGTTTGATGCAATTCGAGGCACTCAGCCATTCTCGTGGAAGAGCCGAAGCGAGAAGAAGAGAGAGCCTAGGGCCGGCTCCATGTGGATTGGAGTTAGCAAACCCCAAGTAGGCGACGGATGCAAGGCGCATCGCTTGTGTATGCGTGACTTGCACAGTCAGCGCCCATTTGAACCCGCCCAGCCAAATTACTGCGGGGGATGCGGGCGCGGTGAAGAGGGCGCTGTGAAAATCGAGGACTTGCCAATCAACAGCACAGGACAAGGTTTCGAGCAGATCTGGGAATTTTGACAGCGCCCAAGTTATGCTTTCGAGGTTGGCAAAGTCACCTCATGTAGCCTGTGGTATTAGGATCCCGCCTTCCCTGCGCAAGAACCGACAGGGTTGGAAACCACATCATGCAAGCAGTTCAAGGCATTGCGTTGCTCTTGGGAAGCACAAGCAGACTCAAGCTGGATTGACCCGCTCGCTTCTCTTGCAGGCATTGTGCTGAGAGGAAGCCATGAGTCATAGGCAATAGGCATAGGCCATACTTATTCACCGCACTGAGCCAGCTGCACTTTTGAACTCCATTTGAGCGCTCATTTGTTGCCAAACAGCATTCCATCGGAACCATTCGCAGCTGCCCTCAGTGGATATGAGTGATTTGCAGGTTGACTGACAACAGAAGATCACAATGCAGCTTACTGTATATTCAAATCTCATTGGCTCTGGCAGAGCGGGCTCATGGCAGTGTTGGACCATGATCCTGCTTTGCAGGACAGCTTCTCTTGTTCGCATCTGGATTGTGCATCTTGTGAATGTCCAAAGATGTGCAAGGAGAAGGCCAAACAGAAGCAGGAGCAAGTGCCGGGCGCTGGACAGAAGTCGGTTGCAACCAGTCTTGGTCTGTCGCTAAGGCAGCACATGATTCGAAGTGTCGAGAGGGCCTGCGAGCAGAATCTGGATGAGGACTCAGCGATCGCTTGTTGCGATCGCAAACAGACCAGCTTGAAAAGCCGGTGGCTTTTTCTCCACCTTGCTTTTCCTAGTGGGTCCAGTGTGCAGGACCGGCAATGGCTGCTGCAAGTCATTCAGCCCAGTAACCCTTGGCAACTCGGCACGAAGAGCTCACTGTGGCCAAGCGAACGATTCCGTTTTCCGAGCTCGGTTTTGAGCACTGCGTTTGCTGCAGCCTTGAATTGCCAAGTTTTGCGACGCTGGTGCGACTCATCTGCGAGCCAAAGTACAAGGCCATCTTGCTTTGAACGGTTTTTCAATGGCTGCCAGGAAAGAACAGGCGATGTGCTCGCACCCTCCAGAGGAAAACAAGCTGACATCTATCACTTGCGGGGCTAGAAGTTGTGAGAACTGATGGTACCCGGAAGCAGATTCCAGACGGACTTAGATACACATATGTTGGCCATGTGAGGCTAAAAGTCAAACATTGATTCAGTCACCCGGGGAAACAAGTAACTTTGTTCGTTGCTCACACGATCATGAATGTTTTGTCACTTGATGCATTTCTAGACGACTCAGATTGAATATTCCCGGCTCCAGGCCAAGCCTTTGCGTTTTTTGTTTTGTTTTGTTTTTGGTTTCTTTCCACCGCACTTTCTTTTCTGGGAGCCTTGCTTGGCAGATGAAGCCGGTGTCAGGGCTGCCTGGCCTTGCGGGCCTGCTGCCTTCGAGCTGTGCAGATGCGCCTCCCCTCACCAGCATGATGTGCAGGGATGGGCCCGAACGGCACCGCATGTTTCCGCGGCACTGGTTTTGGAGGAGTTTCGTGCTGGCAAGCCGAGGCTCCTGCGAATTGCCAGAACCATGTTTGAAGGCCGTGGAAAAGTGTGTTTGAGACGTTGTGCGTTGCTTGCCTGGCAGATTCTGATCCCAACCTGGGATGGAAGACATTTGCCAGCAGCTTACAAAGCGAGCAGGCTTACTTTGGCCTTGGGTTTGTTAACCTTTTGGGGACTCAGTTTCATTGTGGAAACAAGCCTCCTCAAAGAAGTGAACGTTCTGTTGGAGCCAATTTTGAAACTGACGTGGATCTGTAAAAGCGGGCCATCCATTCCTGACGGCTTTGGGAGTTTCACGTTTCCAGGTGGAGCTGGCAGGCAAGAGCCAGGCCGAACAGGCCAGCGCCCGAGAGGAATGAGGAACTGGGGCGGGGCAGGGAGTTGCGAGTCCCGGAGCTTCTTTTCAGTGCCCTGACAAAAAAAAAGAAAAATACAAAACAAAAACAACATCAAACGCCAGGAAGTCCCCCCATTGTTCTTCTGAGCCCAACCCTTCCGCCCCAATGAGCAGCTCGCCTAAACCCGGCCGCTCGCCGAGGCCTTGCCGGAGCTGCGGCTGCTGGCGAAGCAGCAGGCGCGCCCTTCCGTGCAGCGTGCCGCGTGCCGCGTGCCGCGTGCGTGTTCCTCGGGGCCGTTGGTGGCCCGGGTAAAAGAAACGGGGGTCTCACTTATGAGCTGGGGGAGCGCCCAACTTGTGCATGGAAGGCAGACCCAGTGATCGCGAGCAACGCGATCACCGTTCTGGCTGAGCTAGGACCATTCGACAGCTCCTCAATCTTGTCATCCCCACAAATCTCCAGCCATGTGCAAGGAATGAGAGTTATGTATTGAGGCTTTGCACCCAGAGTTGGTGCCGCAAATCCTGGAGCTCTTTGAGGTGGGCAGTTGTTTTGAGGCTTTCTCGTGTTGCTCTTTGTGACGGCCAGGCAGCATCTGATCGGGCCAGCGACCTGTCCGAGGCACATGGAAGCTTTCAGATGAACCCTTCTCGGACATAGCGCTGGACATGTTCGCCTGTAGACCTTGTGCAGGTGGCTCTGCGAGCCTCGCGCTCAAAGCGTTGTGCTGGTGCGTCATGGCTTGGGGATCGGATCTCCGCTCTCAGGTCCACGCTTGGGGCGGGGAGTGCCGGAAGCAGCTGTGCAGCGGAATTGCCGGGCACTGAGCGTGGAGAGGAGGGTAGATTGCCATTTCATAAGGGCAAACTGCGGAATCTTTGGCCACCTTGAGGTGACGGGAAATCACACCGGCGGGCGGCATTTGGTGGAGGTGCCCACTTTGTCAGTCCAACAAGCCGTCAAAGCGTCGCACAGCTCAGTCCAGGCGCATACAGCCAGTCTCTTCAGGTGCTACTTCAGATGCTGAACCGCTGCGATGAGAAGCGGCAGCAGCGCGCTGCGAAGGCAGGAAGACTTGAAAGGGTTCCAACGTTACTGTGCTCTTGCTGATTGCACATTCTGGAACGTACATCATCAGGTTGCAGCAGATGTCAGCAAGACCTCAGCTGGCAACGGACAGCTTGCCAGGTGCTGACCGGTTGCTTCTCGATGGCAGAGGCCAAGGAGTGGATGTATACCAACGATTCCCGGCTCCTAGTGCCGAGCTCGGAGTCTGAAAGATTCTTTGGTACACTGGAGAACATGAGCGGCCTCAAGCACACTTCACGCGCTTTACGGTGGGCGTTGGTTTGGGGGCACCGGACGAAGTGGCGGCACTTCACACGAGCGACCGAGCTCACGGCGCCAAGGTGGAAGTTCTTCTGCGGGAGATTCCAGGGAAAGTGGAAGATCCAAAGACCTTCCGATGCTTTAGTTCTTGCATCAAGGCCGCGCCTGACCTCATGACCTGGGCCCTCTTGAGTTTTGCAAGATCTCTTTTTGCAAGGGTCAGCCGGCCGGATGTATCCACAAACCATCAGCGTCTCTTCTGAATGGTTTCCCTCGCTTGCCCATTCCTCAAAGCATTTGTCTCGAGATTTTTGTCTCAAATCTTTGCCTCCCTCGCCGTGACACTACCACCTGTATCCCATGGCGCAGATGATTGGCTCGCTGCTGCTGCTTGGTGGGCTGCGCTTGGTGGCGGGAGATGTGTGCCCCGATGATGCTGAGGTCGACCTGTGTGACACCAACCCCGAGCAGTTCTCAGGATCCATGGGCATGACTCCCAACCTCTCTTTGCTGCTTCTCGTGCTGGCCTTGGCCCAGCCGGGACGCGCAAAGTCGTGGGCCCTGCTGCTGCCCGCTGTTGTGCTGCCAAGCACGGTGGCCGGGCTCACCTGCGGTGATGTCAAGGACTTCTACAAGACGAACCAGTGCTGCGGTTCAGCAACAAAGGAGCTGGGCACGTACCCGGGCGCGCCGACCTGCCCCTACAACTTCCAGAAGCCGGCATGCTCCATGGCAGGGCCCCAGACGCCGCGTGACCTGACCACGGGTGCCATGGGCGACAGGGTGCCAAAAGCCATCACCCTCACCGACACGCAGGCAAATTCGCTGCCGCTGGTGAACGTGCACTTCCACTACGGCGCGGAGCACAAGTCGGACGCCTACTCCGACGGAACGGACTCGCAGGCCTTCGACACTGCCCGCCGCTTGGCAACAACGGGCACGGTGCGACCGGGCTGGATGTGCCCCACGAGCAGCCTGAGCAGCAACCAGCTGCAAGCTTACACCTTCCAGTACTGCAAGGGCCAGGTGGAAGTGGGCAAGTCTTACGAGATTCATTACGTCCACTCCTCTGCCGGCATGGATGCCAATGAGACGGATGACGTCAATGCTGACAATCTGGCAGACGGCTTGGGAGGTGCCGCAAACGGCCGTGGCCTCTTGAACCCTATGATCGTGGTCCAAGCGCAGATCTTCCAAATCGTAAACGGCGCAGCCACAGTTGATGACATGCTGCATGGCTGGACCGTTGTTGGCCACACCGACTCGGTGATGTACTCGGGCTCAACCACTGGAACCTCCCATGATAACTCAGTATGCTCGCCCTATGCGATCTCGTGGCACGTGGATAAGGCGTGCCACCAGGTATCTCCGGAGTCTTTCGACAACCTTTGCAAGCAGATGAAGGAGACTTATGGCATGGATTCGGATTTATATCCCCACGGCTCCCGCATCCTGGTTGACAAGCAGTATGTCGTCCAGTCCCAGTACGTCGTGCCTTTGCAGTGAGACAACCAGAGCGAGGCAATCAGCAAACCTTGAGAACTCGGGTCTTCACTCCTGTTATAAACAAAGCTCACGCGGAGTGTGTCCCGAAATGTCCCTCTTTTTCTTCAGCTCAGCTATTTTCCCGCTGACGGCACCAAAGTGCATCGATCAGGAGCTGGCACACATATTTTGAAGGTTTGAAAGGATGACAGCGAAGCTGTGATGCTGGAAGCCTATCATGTTCTAGATAGACATTCTTAGATGTGTCTTTTCTCCGTAGCCAGGCGACCGCCAGTGCTTTTGCAACTTAATATGCCATAGCATTCTGCAAAGCCAGACCCAAGGACAGGCCGGGAGCTTTTCAGGTTGGGCGGAAGCGAGAAAAAGGGGAGCGCGGAGCCATTTCTTTCGACGACGCGAGGTTTGCCCCGGGCCCCGTGCAGTGGGATCGTGCCAGGCCCTGCTGCTGTGCAGCCACGCGGCGCGGCAACACCGGCGGGATGAGCTGTGGCAGGCGCGTCGGCGCCCGACGTCGGGCGCGCGTGTCAGGCGAGGTGCCTGTGTTGTGTGAAAAAGAAAACAGCAGGTCCCGTTTGCAGGGGGTTGACTTCTTTGCAAGGGAGAATCTTCTCGGTTTCAGTGATTGTTCGGGGTGGCAAAAGCTGGGAGACTGCGGTTGGCAGCTTGGGCCACCGCCTTTCGAGCACATTTTCAATGGTCACTATCTCGTTTTGGTTTCCCCAAGTGAAATTCAAGAGCTAGGGATACGCAGGTTGTAGTCTTGGGTTCCATTTACCAAGCTGTCATTTTGGTACATGTTTTCGAGACACAGCCAAGTGGCGGGTTTGGGTCAACCTTCGCCGGGTCAGGTCTTGGAGGATCTCCGCCAAGACGATCAGCTGGAGCTCTCCGTTCGCCAGGACTGCGTGGAGGCGCAGCTGCGGAGCGAGGTTGTCTCCCGCCGGGGAATCCTCGTAGGTCGACCTTGGCCAGATGGCCAAAAGAAAACACGGTGAACTCTTTGACTTTCAGAGGGCTTCTCATTTGGCAGTGATTTGCTTCTTTTCCCACGCAAATACTTTGATCGGATTTCCAAGCTTCGGGGCCAAGGGTGCAACTGCACCTGGCATTTTGCCGGCTAGGTGCTCGAAGTCATGAGCTATGCTGAGCGAGCTGCGCCTCACGCTGAGCCCATGGAATGAAGCCTTGCATTCCCGCCAGACTTTCTTTCGCCCAGGCACGCGATGTTTTTTTGGCTTGGCCCTGAATGCAAGGAATTTCCAGCTCAAGTCGCGTAGAGGAATTCATGAATTCAGGATGCGGCCGGGGTGCGGCAGTCAAGGAGACACTGGAGCTTTTCATTCTTAGATGCCAGAGTGAAAGTAAGAGCTAGATGTTCCAGCGAATTGTACCTCGGGGTGCCTCACTGGGCCCGACACAGCGATAGCTTAGTCCGCGGCCCTTTGCATCACTCGACACGGCAGCAGTTGCCCAGTGGCAGGATGGTGCAGGGCAACCGCTCTCGCGTCATGTCCTGCATGTATCACCAGTTAGAGTCTTTTTGCCTCACCAGGTGGCATAAGGCGCATGGCCGCTTCAAAAAAAACACACCTGCTTGCTTGTTCCCAGCATCCGAGAAGGGGCATGGCTCGAATGGTCCGCGAAGGTCTTGGTTTGGGCCGTTTGGGGCTCCCAGTTGTGCCGCCCCTGGGTTTTAGGGCTGCTCTGCGCGAGGTGCCTCGGGAGGAACTGGTCCTCTTTTATTATTTTATTTTACTTTTTTCCTGTCGCGTTTGGCGAAGTTCGAAGCCTTCGCTGTGGGAAGCGTGCTCGGGGGCTTGCCGAAGTGGCAGAGGTCCCAGCCCAAATTGCCCCGCAGGTGCAAAATGATGGAACAGTTTGGAATGCCCCAAGCCCCAGGAGGCAAGACTTGCACCGCTTGAATTGGCGAGAGCGACCCTGCATTTCGGGGAGAGCACACGGATGCCGGGCAAATGGGGACAAAGTCTTTTCGCTCAAAAGCGACCCAATCCTCAAGTATCGAAGAGAGGTGGCTAGTCTGTGAGATGGGACGAGTTGCGTTTTTTGGGCTGCAGGAGTTTGCTCCGTCCACGGCAAGAACCGCAGCGCGGACACCAGAGTTGCATGCGCCATCGAGCCCCACAGATTGCTCTCGACTCCGCTGATACTTTGACTTGCTCCGGGTGAAAGCGCCAGGACGTTCTGGTAGAAGACGGCTATGGTGGTTTCATGTGCGCGCGAGGGAAGGAGTGCAAGGCGAGACCGGCAACCATTCCAGCGAATGCTTAGCGTGTGTGCCAGGTGGCGGGGCAAACCAAGACGATTCCTTGCACCTTTTGGCAGGCAGGCGCAGACATGGGATGGCTTGAAGCTTACCGAGTACCTGTCTCAGGCTGGGAAGTGCACCAAGGGTGACGCCTGCCCCTTGACTGCATGGATGGTGTCCATGGCAGTACATTCTCTTCGGTGTTGTCAGGCTCATTTGCTCACGTACCCGCATGGGGCGGTGGTGGCGGTGGCTGTGGCGAGTGGGCCTTGCCCTTAAGTGCAGAGCAGTCTGCTCACAGGAATCTGCCCCAGCCAAGATGACACGCAACTGGCAGCGCTTTTTCGCCCTTTTCGCCCCAAGGAAGGCAATGGCAAGGGCGCATGGGGTGGCAACAGCTGGGACATGGGCGGCAAGGGAGGAGGCAAACCCGCGATGATGGCCTGGATGGCGAAGGGCATGCAGATGATGATGGGCAAAGGCAAAGGGTTTGGCCCGATCCTGAGTTGAGCGCTGCACAGCGCTTGAAACGGCCAGATAGAGAAGCTGTGTATTGCTCATGCCAAGGAAAAGGCAAGGGCCCATGGCAATCTGGACCAGCAGGAGGCTGTGGCTTTTCATCTTTTTGCGTTCAGCATGTACCTGGCAGGTACTTTCCTGTGTGCCGTTCATGGCAAGATGAGAAGTCAAAACGCAGCCCCAGACTCAGGACTCAGCCGGCTAAGTTGATTTGGTGATCAGGCCTCAGCAAACGTGCTTGGCATGTAATGACGAGGTCATGGAGATTGGCAATGGGCAGTATCAGTGCAAGCCCGACCCTTGACCATCTCGGCATGAGGGTTTATTTGTTTTCCCTGAGAATTCTTTGAGGCCTGATTCGGAATGCAAGGGTGGCGTTGGTGGCTGCTTTGCTGCATTTGGCCAGCCCAAGTTGTCAAAGACGACGGCTTTCCCTTAACAAAGACAGCGCTGGCTATTGGCCGGACGCTGTATCATGCTTTTTGCACCTGACACTTGCTGATCAACATTGCAGGCGTCCGCACAAAAACGGCGATGTGCAAGTTCTTCCTGATCCTTGGCAGAGATACCACATGTTTCTCCAACTCGGTGCGTGAGTTTCATTGACTTCCGAGGGAAGGCAGGTGCGCCAAGGGCGAGTCGTGCACTTTCGCACACAGCCAAGAAGAGATCGGGCAACAAGTGCCCGAAGGCGCGGAGTTGGAGTTGAGCCGAGTTCGAGCCTCTATCCGATTCGAGGAGCTGCCACAGCTCGAAGCTTGCCTGAAGTTAGATTGATGTGAAATATGAAGTTACTTGATGTTCCCACCTGGAACATCTACAAAAGCCCATGCTTTTTTTGGGGAGACTTGTGAATGCATTTTCTGGCACTCTCGTTTCCTGCTGCGCACACACACACACACACACTGGTGAGACTCAGGCTTTATGCCGTCCAGACCTCAGCATTCTTTCTGTCTGCTTGGCGGCTTTGCATGGTGTGCGCGCAGAAAAAGGGCGTTTGCCAAGGTACTGAGAAGGGAGGAGCAACATCTCTGAGCTTAGCCAGAGGGCCAGAAATGGGAAAGAATCATCCTCCCATACCATCATACGCCATCGGTCAGACTTGCGTTCCATGGGCGGATGGATCAAAGTCTCGCTGTAGCCATGCTGCCTCGCGGCGAAAGGCAAGGTGCTGAGGCAACCTCGCTGACATGCGAGAGTCGCCAGGTAGCTTTGCAGTTGCTGGCGCATAGACGGACAAGCTTGTCCTTATTCTGACTATTTTGACCCCTTGGAGAAACTCACAAGCTGGTTCCTTCTGCTCTGTTGTTTTTCATCATGGTGATCATATATGATCATGTATGAAGCGACCGTCGAACCAACAAATAGAAACACACGTATTGCATGTTTTGCGGGCGAGCCGGCATATCCAGGGTATCCAGGCTCAGCAAGGTCCACGATATGCAAGATGCGTCTTGCAGGTTCGGAGTATTTACCATGAGCGGCAGTCATCCCAGCCTCCATGGTGTTTGCCATGAATGTAATCTAACGAAGATATAATTGCAACGTCTTGCCTTTCACGCTGAACGGACAGGGATGATGCGTATCATTGAGCTGGGAATCCCGTTTGCCAGCGAGATCAACGCTATTCCGGCAGATAAATGTCGAAAAAGAGCCAACTGCTAGCTTGATGAGCAGGAGGTGCAAGTACATTGTGCGACGACTGAGAGCTGAATGCTTGGAGAAGCAACTTTGCTCATACAATAGCTGGGAGGATGCAGTTGCTGGACCACTGTTTGGCTATGGACCAATTGGCCACACTGAGTCCATTATCATTCATCATCTTAGTATTTGGGGACAAGGCAGGTAGATATTACGCAATGCGTGCCATACATTGAGCATGCGATGCCCTCCAGGACTGCTTCACCAAGTAGTGGATGGATTTCTTTCGGGGCTTTGCAAGGACAAAGTTCTACATCTTCTACTGGGAAGGTAAAGATGACGATGGCATCGACATGGACAACTTGAGACCATGCAGGACATCCCGACGGTGCTTGCAGTTCCTTTTGGATCAAAAAGCTTCTATCCCCTGTGGGTTAGACGGCTTAAACTCCTTTTTGTTTGTTTATTCGTGCAACCAGCGTTTATGGGATTGTTTGCTTGCCGATCCAAGCCGCCTGCCGAGTGGCCTGGAAAGAGATGCCGGATGCCTTCTTCAAGACATTCAAACGCAAGACTCAAACGAGACAAAGTCCAGTGTTCTCGAAACTTTGCTCATGTTGGGATTGGCTTATTGAGAATCCCTCTGCCCACAGCTGGAGATGGTTCGAGCAATTGACCATTCAGTTGCCCAGGATCTTCTTGGCAGGAATTGAAGTTGCTGGATTACATACCACGGCCCAGCTAGGCCTTCCATGTTTCACCGTCGCCCAGTGGAGGACTTGCAGCAAGATTACCAACCCCTGGATGTTTCGCTTAGACAACATGCAGGCTGGGTCCAGTGAAGTGACATCCTCAAATCTCTGAAATTAGATGGTGGTTTTAAGGGAAGCCACCCCCAAAGGTGACTTTGCAAGCCTCTCAAATACAACCATAAGGGACCCTTTGCTGGCACGCAGGCCTGCCTCCGCTCCTGCACCAAAGCCGCAGACTTACAGTATGACCAACATTTTAGGGTCGGAAAGGACAACTGAGGCTTGCACATGGCTTGGTGAGTTGCGAATGTGAGCCGTGGCCATGCGAATTAGCAGCCGTGAATTGGATGAATCTTTTGTGCCCAGGAGGGTGAGCTCTTCCGACAAGAAGTGGCAGAGTTTTGGTGCGTGTCGCCCTGACCCTTGGCACAGAATGCTGACCTGACAACTACAGCAAAAGACAACTGCAGGGATTTGAGGATTGTAAGTGCCAGAGTAGACACATGCCCAGACCCACGCAGAGAAGTTTGATCCAAAAAAAGAGAGAGAGAAGCAGAGAGAGAGAGAGAGAGAGAGAGAGAGAGAGAGAGAGAGACAGAGAGAGAAAGAGAGAGGGAGAGAGAGAGAGAGAGAGTCGAACTTGGCTTCATTGCTTCCACATGCAGGGACCACTCTCTGCTATGACCTGCCAAAGTTTGCAGCCTACTTGCATCACAGAAGGACCAAGGACTGGCTATGCGGAGCAACACGGGTCTCATGTTTTGATACCTTGCATTGCAGTCGGCCATCCCACATCTCCAGGCGCTCACGGAAGCCAGTGTCATCGGCACAGCACTGGCCATGCATGGTCGGGGGCTCAGAAGGCGGCACTGGATCGTGCGACCTTTGAATCCGCTCAAGGAGCCAAAGAGAAGGCAGACTCCGGAGTGCCCCGCCTGCACGGAAGCTGAGCAAAGTTCAGAGAGCGCCGTCAACTGAGGTGACGGTCAGCAGCTTGGGCTTACCAGGAGAGGGCAACGCGAACATGCTTGGTCTCTCCGGTCACTAAGCCGCTGGCCTGACAGGCCAGTGCGACACCTGGCAGACCTGGTTGTGGTGGAAGATGGAGGAGCTGAAGAAGCATGCCAGGTGGAACCAGAAGAAGCCTGGAGCTTACGATGCTGTATGCGTTGTGTAAGCGGCTTGGAAGAAGTTGAGACGAGGTGTGTCGCAGTGCACTTGGACGGCCACTTGCCAGAATCAGATGTCCTTGCCGTTCTTCATGACCATGCTGTGTGTTTTCCGTTTGAGTCATTGATACATTTGTCACAGCCTGGGCCTCATCCCGGACTGATATTGGTCGCTCAGCCATGAAGTGGCATTTGGTCAAGCCACTCTAGTTTCTGAGAAAGCTGGCTTTTTTTGTGACTCCGCAAGCATGCAGCTTTAGCCTTAGCTTTATCTAAAAAGAACTCAAGATCCACAAGGAGTGGCACACAGCATTCCTGAAAGCCACAGGCGCAGGCGATGAGCTGATGAATATCCCCATGCAACAACTTGATGAGGAGGAATGCGGGAT